ATTATTTCCAATACTAACTGGAGACTCAAAACAGAGGGGCAGCGCCTATGCCCAAGTCCACACAGCACTCAGCAAGCCAGGCTGGGACCCCGATCCCCTCGTTCCCAAGTCAGCCTAGGACTTCTCAGGGGTGTCTGGATCCGAGGAGGGCGGAGGGGTCTGGGCGGAGAAAGGAGAAAGCGCAGAAAGGAGGGAAAGAGAGAGACGGCGAGAGCGGGGCAGGCAGAAAGGGAGGGGAGGGTGCAAGGTAACCCAGAGATACGGGGTGCAGAGCGGAGGAGGCGGGACAGGCAACAAGAGGGTGTGGGTCTCACGCTCTGGCAGAGAGGGAGACGGAAAGGACCGGGAAGGCGAGTGACCTAGGGCGCCAGGGGCGGGGTGGCAGGTGAGGGTGCGACGGGAGGGAGCGGAGTGGGCCGTAGCAGGGAAGAGACAGGGGAACAGGGGGAGGAGGAGAGGGGAGGGCGGCAGGGGCGGGGCCATGAGGGGACGGGCCTCCTGCTCTGTCGGGGCGGCAGAGCGCCTGCGCAGCTCTCCCGAGCCGGCGTGCGGCTGCGGCTTCCTCCGGAACCGCTTCCTGGCGGTCCAGCTGGGCCCTGATCCCGGGAGGCTGGGGACCGGGGGTCCGCGCGGAGCGGTTGGAGCGAGCCGGAACTGGGAAGGGGTCCCAGGAGGCAGGCCGCAGCCACGTCACGCCCAAGGTCACGCTGCAAACGGCAGCTGTAGAGATGTCGCTCTAACAGCGGGCTACCTGGACTTTGTCGCCATCGAGCCCTGGAGGTGAGTAGGAAGGCCGAGAAATTCAGGCTTGCAGCCCAGAGGCTCAGCCCCGGCTTCCAGAAATGGAAAATGCTGTCGGTCGGGAGCCAAAGCTCTTTGCTCTAGTCTTAGCTGTGCCAGTGACTCCCTGCGTGGCTTTCGCTGGGCCTCCATCTACCCATCAGGAAAGTGAGAGGGTTTTTGGATGGCTCTCCCTAATTTCCAGATTGACTTAAATTCATTTCCTTGTCAGACTTCCCCCACGGCTTGCCCCTAGATTCACCAGCTACTTCCTTTCCTTAGCAGCAACTTGGCTGTGTTCTGGACCCTCAGGTTTCAACTAGTCTGAGATTGACTGGAATCAAACCGTGTGGGACAAGAAGCTGCATCCAGTCCCTGAACAACAGGCTGAGGACTTGTTTCTTGGGCGTTGAGTCAGTAATCCTTTTACTGGCTCTCCACTTAGGCAGACCTTGCTACCTTCCGTAAAGACAAACCTGAGGCTTAGAGACAGGACCTGGCTGCTCTGTCTGCCTTTGGCCCTGTTCTGTGCCGATCTACCCAAATCAGATTGTTTTAAAAACCAAATTTGTCTAAGCATGATGCAGTAGAAGGGAGCACTGGCCAGTCTGGAAGTTTGGGATCTGGTGCTGGCTGTGCACCTTAGGCTAGTATCTGCCCCTCTCTGGCTCAGTCTTCCCTGATAAACAAGGGGTCTGTCACATGGTCTGCAAGGACCCTATGTCTTTGGTATCGTAACAATAGTAATAACAATCATAATTGTTTCCTTACTTTGACCAACAAGGCCCTGCCATAGCAGGCCCTGTCTACCCAAAGCAGCAGACTTGCCATTGACCTACCTCAGGGCCTTTGCACTTGCTATTTCTAGTGCCAATAACACTTACCACCTCCATTTTCTGCATAGTCGTTCCTCAGATCTCCACTGAAATTTGACTTAGAAAGTTCAACACAAATTAGATGGGATCCTTGGGTTTATATCCTTATGGTACATGTTGACTTTGTCATACTTCAGTGTTTATATAGTTGTCTGATATCTGTGTCTCTTATTCTTTAATGCGTGTAAATGGCAGGAGGGCTGGAAATCTATCCTGTTCCCTAGCATCTGGCACATAGTAGGTGCCCAGAAATTTGTGGAATGAATGGATGATCTCATTTAATGCAACAATCATGTGAGGCTGGCACATTGTGTTCTTCTTCAGTCAGGAGACAGAGACTCAGATAGTGACACTCCTAGGGTCACACAGTGAGTGGGTGGTGCCAGAATTTGAACCCAGTCTGTCTCTGACTCCAAAGCCTGAACTTCCACCTCACTGCCGTCTCCTTGTAGGATCTTCTGCTGTGAGGAAGTGCCACAGTTCTGACCCACGAGGCCTGGAAAGAGAGGACCTTTAGGTTGTGTGTGCAGGGTGGGGGCGTGGTCTTGTCGGCTCATTTTCTCTCTAGCCGCTGGCAGACTCGGGGTGGACTTGCCCCGCTCTGATAGGCTCATGGCACATCGGCTACAGATACGACTACTGACATGGGACGTGAAGGACACGCTGCTCCGGCTGCGCCAGCCTGTGGGAGAAGAATATGCCACCAAGGCCCGGGCCCACGGGCTGGAGGTGGAGGCAGCCACTCTGGGACGCGCCTTCAGGCAGGCTTACAGGACTCAGAGCCACAGCTTCCCCAACTACGGCCTGAGCCAAGGCCTCACCTCCCGCCGGTGGTGGCTAGATGTGGTCTCACAGACCTTCCACCTCGCGGGCGTTCCAGATGCCCAGGCTGTGGCCCCCATCGCTGAGCAGTTGTACGAGGACTTCTGTAAGCCCTGCACCTGGCAGGTGTTGGAGGGGGCCGAGGCCACCCTGAGAGGGTGCCGAAAACGAGGTCTGAGGCTGGCGGTGGTCTCCAACTTCGACCAGCGACTGGAGGGCATTCTGAGGGGGTTGGGCCTGCGGGAACACTTTGACTTTGTGCTGACCTCTGAGGCCACCGGCTGGCCCAAGCCTGACCCCCGGATTTTCCACGAGGCCTTGCGGCTTGCTCGAGTGGACCCGGCAGTAGCAGCCCATATTGGGGACAGTTATCACTGTGATTATAAGGGGTCACAGGCTGTAGGTATGCACAGCTTCCTGGTGGTTGGCCCAGAGCCTTTGGACCCTGCAGTCAAGGGTTCTGTACCCCAAGAATGCCTCCTCCCCTCATTGTCCCATCTCCTGCCTGCCCTTGACCGCCTGCAGGGCTCACCTCTGGAACTTTGACTCTGATGAGGGAAGTGGCTCCAGCAAACTCTGGAGATTGAGAGCGCCTTCCTTCCTGAGATCTGGCCTTTGCCCCTCTCCTTCCGGCGTCCAAATGCGCTCTGACTATAAAGCCGTGAATACGGGCCTTTGAGCCCTGCTTCTCGCCTCTGCCGTGGCTTATTTATCACACCTGTGTCTTTCCCACCCTCCTCGCCTACAAGAGTCACTGAGGGCCCAATGACCTTCAGAACCAGGCACATTCAAACTTTGTTTTAGCAGCAGGGCCCTTTTGTTATGGGAGATCTTACTGGAGCCCTAATATATAAAACAGCAAAAGCAAGAAACTTTTAGGGTTGAAACAGGTTCCAGAGCCCCGCAGTCGGGCTCTGAAGGCTCTTCAAGTCCCCCCGGGGAAGCAGGAGATCAGAGGAGCTTAGTTTGGAAAACTTAGTTTGGAGACCTAAGCTATGCCGTAGGGATATGTCCTCTAAGACCATATAGTGTAAGCAAGGTTTCAGACAAGGAGCACCCCAATTACATCATGAGAAGAAACATCATTTGTGCTAGCCATGTTTTAGTCCTTTACACGCATGTATAACCCTCAGAGCTACCTAATGGGCAGAGGTAGTGGGACCCGCACTTTATAAGTGAGAAACAGATTCGGAAGTGAAGGAGCCTGCCTGAGGCCACAGCTTGTATGGGAGAGCCTGGGTTCCAGTTTAGGACTTGGAAGGAGAGAGCTGTGTCCTTGAGACAGTGCGATCCTGGGAGACCAAGGAAGGTGTTCTACAGGAGGCTAGTTTTGAAGGGCACCCTGGTCATAGGTGTTAGCACGGAGGTAGGAGAGCACAGGGAACAGGGACCGGAGTTTGAGGTGGCAGGTGTAGGACACATGGGGGGAATGACTGGAGACCCAAGAAACAGGCTGGGTTTTAAAAATTCCATGTCACTTCCTGCCTCTCCCCTCTTCACACTCCTGTCCTCTCACACCTGCTTGGTGTTTACCAGACTCTTCTATTCCTTGCCTACTGCCAGGCACATACACGGTGTTGTGTTCTGGTGCCAACAGCCGGGGAGGGCTCCAGAGTAGCCCCGAACTGCAGTGACATTCAGTGGGCAGAGGAATAAGACGCATTTCTGGCAGCAGGGCCATGAACTACAGACTGAGGGGTGCCTGAGTTAGATGGGCAGTTTGGGGAGCAAGGCATGAGGGGGGCCTTCCGGTGCCGAGTAAAAAGATGGGCTTTGACCCAGATTTCTGGGCAGAGACTGTGCCCATGTGAGGGCAGGGAGGCCCTTCTCAGACTTGGCCATACTTCCGGGTCTCTCTTCCTTGGGCTTGGTGCAAAGCCCAGGTGACATTAATTCCCAAGTACCGGGCAGTAAGGATGTGGGTTGTGAGCTGTGCTCTCACAGCTGCAAGGGCCTCAGAAGTCATCTCAACCAAAAAAGCTGCTATTCGGTCTGTGGACTGGATTTGATCTACCCAGCGTTTGGAGTAAATTATTGAGCAAACTGAAGAGTGGGGAGGGCTCTGGCACTCATCTTTGAGCCCAGGGGCCTGAAGTTGTAGGTAAGATTGCCTTTGTTCCTAGATAAAACAGGAATGGTGAGGATTACTGTTGTAATGTGACCTCAGAGAGCAGGAAGTTACTTGCCCTGGGTTCCAGCAATGCAGGGCCCAGAACCATCTTAAGGCTCGTCTGGCTGGGTGTGCTGCGCTGGGCAGGTGGAAGAGGGTGAGGAAGGGCTCTCTTTCCTAGCCGTTGCATCTCTTAAGATGTGAGCTAACACTTGGGGGATTTGTGCGATCACCCACAGAGGACATGGAAGACACTTCAACCTTTTACAATCTTTACTAACATACATGTTCCCTACATCGGGCCCTCCTACTCCATCAGCTGTGTGGGGCCTGAAGGCCTCACCCCAGGTCGCCCTGCGGTGCGTCTCGAAAGACTCTACCACACACCCAGGCACCTTTCCATCCAGCCGCTTGCTCGCCAAATATTTATTGCACAACCGGTAGGCACCGGACCCCGTGCTGGATGCCAGACACGACGCAGTGAACAAGATGCCCTCAGAGGGGCAAATGCCTGGTGGATTTGGGAGCCCAAGGCCCAGGGGGTAGCAGGCTCCCCACAGATAGCCAGCAGGTCTCCGCTGAAGCCAGACCTGAAACAAGACAGACCCCTCCCCCTCCGCAAGCGGCCCCCTGGGCAGAGGCAACATCTGGGGAAGAGACCGCTGGGTAGGAACGCGGCCTGGAGGCGTGGCGGGGGCTAGACCGGGGCTCCCGGCGGCCACGGGTCAGCGGACGATGGAAATGGTCTGGTCGGCCACCGCGAAGACTGGGAAGAGGGGCCCCGGGAAGGGCGCGCGGTGGGCGTGGAGCACCGTGCCCGAGGCCGGCTCGTAGAAGAGCAGTTCCTGCGCCTGCAAGTCTAGAAGCACGCCCAGCTGGCTGGGGCAGCGCAGCAGCCCCAGGGGCTCGTGCTGCCCGTCGTGTGAGAAACGGAACTCCTGGTCGTAGCGGGAGAAGACCCAGGAGAAGGTGTTGTGGCCCAGACGAGAGTCACTCCCGGAGCCCTTGCGGGGCAGCTGGCCCAGGGCCACACCCACCTTATAGGCGCAGCTGTTCTTCACGTTCACCATCCAGGTGTGCAGCCCAGCCTGGAAGGACGTGGCCGCGAGGGCATTGGGCCAGTGGTCAAAGCGCTCGGGGGCATCTGCACAGGCCTTGGACTTCTTGGCGTTGAAGGTCAGGGTCCTTCGATCATCTGACAGTTGCAGGAAGGGGCTGACGGTCCTCTCGTCGATGCGCACGTCCTCCATGCCTGCCAGGAAGAAGTCTCCCAGTTGCCCAAGGCCCACCCTCAGCCCTAACCCGGCCCTGTCAGGCCGCAAAGGGCTTCCTCCCCACTCCCTGGCAACGAGCTACCTCGCACAAGCCCCTTCCTCTCTCTGAGCCCCAGTCCCCTCAGCTGTCAAATGGGGATCAGTCGGACTTATCACAGGGTGGGCGTGAGGATCTGAAGTGCCGAGCATTAGTAAGTGCTCACCGGGTTGTGGCCATGACAACAAGAGTTCTTACTAGTCTGAGACCCTCATGTGTAAACTCGAAAGAGGGCCCAGAGGGAAGCAAGTTGCCCAAAGTCACACACCTAGTTGGTGGCAGGGCAGAATGAAGACCCAGCATTTTGTTCCCGTATCTAGCATCCAGCACTGATCAGAGCGCATTCCCATTGAGCCTCTCTGCGGCCCCCAGATCGGATCTGTCCCTGGGGCATGGCCCCTGGGAGCTAGGAAGCATCAGATCCTACTTTCCAACAACTCATGAAATGGGACCGCTGGCAAATCAGGCACTCTCTGATAACAGAATCCAGAGCGGACAAGCTAGAGCTTGAACTCAACATTGAAGGCTGACACACAAGGGAGGAGGGCTAAAAATTGAGGAACAAGTCAACCCATTACCCTAACCTCTCTGTGAATTGTGCAAACACTCCAACCAGGGGCACAGAAGCTGCCACCTAGCTTGGGGGGTTCTGCTTGGAGAACTTCCGCCCTGAGTGGGAACTCCTGCAAGGAGAAGGGCAGGCTGCATTCAGCCCCATGGCCTTAGCACGCAGCACGGGGCCAGGCCACAGCCGGCCTGAGTCAGTGTCTGGTGAGGGAGTAAGTGAGGCAAACCTAGGCAGCTCAATTCTCACTCCACATGCCCTCCAGCACTTGTACCTTCTTAAAGAGAAACTCGGTTTCCAAGAAATAATACCAAGCTGTCCCACTTGGGCAGGACAGAGCCGGGACTTACAGGAACCAGATTTTTCTTAGAGCCCACAGAGCAGTTTGGTCTGGACACAGGAAGGACCCAGCTGCACCAGGCCTGTCCAGCACCTTGGCTTCACGAATGACAAGCCTCATCTAGTGTCACTGTTTGCTTTAGCTGCCGTGCCAGATGTTCTGCTCCCCGGTGTGACCCAGCCAGTCAGCCAGCCACCCAGTTGTTCCCATTGGCGCTGGGCCCTAACAGTTCCTAACCTGAGAGGGACCCAAGAACCGCTGTCACCCAGAGCTGGGTAAGGAGTGGGCTCCGAATGCACTTCTCATTGAAGTTTAACTTGTCCGACTCCTGGGGATCCAAGATGCCCTCTGCTTCCTCGGTCCTTGTGGAGGGGAGAAAAACAAAACAAAAAGCAGGTTCAGGAAGGTTCTGGAAATGGATCTGGATCAATATAGGATGATGGGAAAGGGACAGAAGTAAAATCATCTTCCCATGAGGGTGATACCAGGATTGGCAGCCAGGCCCCACACAAGAGCCCCCTAAAAGGAGGCCTGAGCCAAACAGGAAGCTGGGCTTTCCCCTTGTGCCTCCCGCCCAGGGGCCTTAATTCCAGTGAGGCAGACAATTTCCAGGGAGGTAAATACTTGGTGCCAGTATTAGAACTTGGAGTTGGTCTGCTCTGTGGGAGAAACTACCTGCTGGGTCTCTAAGTTAGCAGCAGAGCAGGGACGGGACCTGAGCCACTCATGCACCAGCCTTTCCTCCCCCGTCCTATATGGAGAAAACCTCGCCTCCTTCCAAAACCTACTGGTTCAGTAAGAAGGTACAGCCACTCCTCTGCTCTTAAAATGCAAATATCCTTGAGGGATCCCACAAGTAGGGACTATCAGTTATCATCCGAACCATAAATTAGTTCCAGTGCTTTGCTCCCAATAGCCACCTCTCCTCAGCTCACAGGGGCACTAGGTTGGGCTGGAAGAAATATGGGAACAGAAGATGCCTAGGAGGGGAGAATGACCATTTATTAAGTATCCAGTTCCCTCTGTAGAATCTCACGTAATCTTTGCTATAACCTGGGAGAGGGTTGTTATCCCATTTGACAGGAAAGAAAAGAGATTCAAAGAAAGCACTCAGCTAAAAAGGGGAGCTGAGTTCAAGTCCTGACTCCAGGCAAAAATAGAACAAACCCAGCCTGGCATCCAGGCACTGTTCAACATAATTTTCCCCTTGATCTAAAATGAAAATGATCAAAGGGGTATAGGACAAAATAAGGGTTTGCCAAGGAGCTTTGCAGATCTCTGAACTGGGTTCTGAGAGCACACTCTTCCCCTAATTTCCTGACTCTGCCCATAATGAAGGAGCAGGGAGAGAGAGTGGGGCACATCTCATGGATGCAAGCCCTTTGCAAGACTGCCAGTGGCTGGCCTGGATTGGGAAGTGCAAGGTGAACAGAGCCCTAGAAAAGCTGAGAGCAGGCTCTGGTAACAAAGGCTCTTTGTGGTCAGGACAAGAGAGGGTCTGTTGCCACTTTCTCAAAGCACTGCATCTAGGGTTGGAGGAGCCCCAGCCATCAGGCGGGGAGAAAAGAGGAACACGTGTTGGCAATGCTGAGTCAAGCCGAGGCAAATCTGAGGCCAGTTGTAGACGCTAGAGTCTAGACAACCAGCTGATCCAGCACCTCATGGTTCAGAAGGGAAAACTCATGGGGATGCCTGGGTGGCTCAGTCGGGTAAGCATCTGCCTTCGGCTCAGGTCATGATATCAGAGTCGTGGGATCGAATCCTACATCTGGCTTCCTGCTTGGCGGGGAAGCCTGCTTCTCCCTCTGCCTGCTGCTCCCCCTGCTTATGCTCTCCCTCTTGCTTTCTCTGACAATTAAAATCTTTTTTTTTTTTAAGTATTTTGTCGTTATTGTTATTTTAAAATGCTAAGGAATAAATTCCAGATTAAATCAGGAATTCCAGATGGACTAGGAAACAAAAAACATAAAACAAAAACACACCAAACACTGTTAAGAACTTTGCAGGCACAACTGGCAACATTTGAATATGGACTGTATATTAGATAATAGTATCACATCAACAGTAATTTCCTGAGCTTAGGTGACACTGTAGTTATGTAAGAGATGGTCTTTGTTCTTGAAAGAAAGATGCTGAAGTATTTAGACCTAAAAAGTCTCACTTTCTGCAACTTACTCTCAAATAGGGTAGAAACAATAAGTGTCACATATTCATCTGTTAAATAGATAGGAAGGAAAAGACAGACCAAGAAAGGGAGCAGATGTGGCAAAATACTAACAATTGGATTTTCTAGGTGAAACTCCTTATACTATTTTCCAATTTTTCTCTACATTTGAAACATACCAAAATACCAAAATAAAAAAAAATTTAAAGATTAAGTTTTTTTGGTTTTGTTTTGTTTTGTTTTGCAAAAACCAGAACAGCTTAAAATTGAAAACAGGATGAAGACAATAAAGGAGAAAGAGAAGACTAGCAGAAGTGTGGAAAGATTAAAAGAGGGGAAAAGTAGGAACAAGCCTTTAAAGGAAACCATAAAATAAAGCTGGGGGCATCCACACCAGGGGAGCCTTCACAGACTTGCCAAAGAGTGAGGTAAATCTATACATACTGACACGGAGAGATTCCAGGAAAGTCTGATAAGTTATAGAACAGCAAGCAGTAAAACAATCCCTAGTGTGTTAAAAAATATATATATATATTTTTAGAGGTCAACAAGTCCAATCATACTCTCCCGCGACCCTGTTTACATAGGGAAGTCCCACAAGATACATCACTGACTGTTAAAGCTGATCACCTCCAGGGAATGGGATTGGGAAGGGAATGGGAAAAAAATAAATTCTTTTAAGTTATCTCTACGCCCACTGTGGCGCTTCGAACTCACAAACCTGAGACCAAGAGTCACATGCTCTACCCACTGAGCCAGCCAGGCGCCCCGAGATGTTTTAAATTTTCAGTGGTCTTATACTGATGGCATTCTTTTCTCTTTCTCCCATGCACATGTATTACTGTTGAAATTTAAATATAAAAACAGCTAAGAAGAATGGGTTGTGCTCCCCAGATACAGCTCTGAAATCTCTCACAGAAGCTGCAAGAATTTAATTTCTTTGCCTGGCAAATTACATCCTCTTGGCCACTTCCTCGGGCTCTTGGCTCCCAGTCTCTCAGGACCTGGGAGAGCCTGGTGAAGTGCTTTTATTACTGCTTCATTAAAATGCAAACTGTGAGTGGTGGTAATGCACACCTAGGTTTCAAAGATTCTTTTCTCAGAGAAAGGGGGACTGAGGCAGAGAAGAGGGTGATGGGACAGGCGTGGGGTGTGCGTCTCCACCCCAGCTAAGGGGTGTAGGAAGGTCCCTGCCCTTCCTTCTTTGAGCCTCAGTATTTTTATCTGTAGATGGCGGGGGAGGTGTGAAACACTCCAACAGGGGGACTGGAGATTTTGTAGCAGGATAACATTTCAGAAAGCCCTTGGCAAGCCTCCCATTGCTAAGTGTTTCTTTTATGACCCCGGCCCAGGGATCTAAAGCAGGTCTCCAAGTTAGACGCAGGAAGACCCCCCGTCCAGGGAGCATGGCTCTGGGACAGGCGCGCCGCCAGACGGCGCACGGTGGGCTTTCTCCCCAGACCAGCGGGGCCTGAATGACACGGACTAGTTACAGGCCTGCGGGCAATGGTCTGCACATCTGCCCAGGCAAATGACGGGGCCATACTCACCTCTCAAAAATCTCCTGCTCCTTCTGCTGTAAGAAAAGAAAACAGAGTCAGGCTGGGGACCAGGAACTCAGCAGGAAGTCAAGACTGGAGTATGTTCGACTGACATGGAGGGTGCCATGTGGGCAGACTCTGGGACAAAGCATTCTGTTCCTGCTTTAAGACCCCAAGCAAAGCTCTCTGGGCTCTTCTTCACACAGCTCTCACCGCACACTGGGAATGGATCGCCCGGATCACTGGCTCCCATGCCCCGGGGCATCCTGCGGTTCCCTCACAGGACCTCCGTATTTACCAACTCCCCGCCACCCTCCCCCAGACTGCCAGCTCTGGGATGGCTGGGACGCTTACTGATTCTTCTCCTGTGACCGTCCCAGTTTGGGACAGAATGTGCTCTGATGTGGAAGCAGTGGGACCCGGTGAAGGCACAATCTAGGGCAGCGATGGAAACTGCCCTACTTGAACGGCAGAATAGCTCTGTTGTTCCACATTCTGATTTCTCTGCTGGAATATTTCCTCACACGTCAGACTGTCCCATTAAAACTGCAAGCATCTGCATATCTATAGAAAGTACTCTGCAGGGATATGTATCAAAGTATGACCCACAGTCGTTTCTGGGCGGTCCGATTTAGGGACACCCGGGTCGCTCCCTCCCTCCGCTTCTGAGCCCTGTCTCTACCTCCCCACTTCCTTCATCATAGCGGCTCCTCTTTACCTGTCAGGCACCAGCTTCGAAGTTACTTCATTCAGGAAGCTGCCCCTGACCCCTGCCACCCGCAAGCCTGGACTGCGGGGTCTCTGGCTCCCAGTGATGTCTTCTACCAGAACACATAACCCTCCACTATCAGTTTAGGTATTCATCTGCTTCATAAGGCCATGAGGCGCTAACAGCTGTATCCTGTCACCCCACCCCAGGGCACAACGGCTCATAGTAGACACTCAGCAAATATTTGCTCACTATTGAAAGAATGGTTAGCAGGTGCAAAAAAAAATTTTTTTCATTTAATTTTATTTCTTTTTTTATTTCCTTGCCTCATCCCTGCTCTGAATTATCCTTATCCACCCAACTCCTACCAATACACATTCTGGATGTTTTAGACTTCGGGGTGTCTGGTCCACTGGCTGTGTCCTCACCCCTGCCTGACTTACAATCAGCTGGAGGTCATCCAGATGGGTGAGCATGGCCACCAGGCTGGTCCGGATGCTGTCCAGCTTCTGCAGCGCCTCAGTCCAGTGGACTCGCTGTGTCAGGATGCTCTGGTGGGCCCGCTCCTCTTCACCATGCACCTGTTCCAGCAAACGCTGCTCCTCGCTCTCACACAAACTCCTCACCACACCTAGCCTCTGGATGACCAGTTCCCGTGCCGAGCTGGCTGTGCTCTGGTGAGAGATAACACAGGGAATCGGGTCCTAGCCAATCCCCAGTCAAGATTAAGAGGATCTGGGCTCAGTAAGAAGGAGTGCTGGGATTGATTAGCCATGTCTGGCACAGGCACAGTAATGGAAGGAACAGTGCTTATGCCATCCCAGCCTTAAGAGTTCCCAAATATGGAAGAGAGGAAAAAATGAAATGGGAGGAAACCGGAGAAGGAGACAAACCATAAGAGACTCTTAATCTCAGGAGACAAACTGAGGGTTGCTGGAGTGGAGGGTGGTGGGAGGGATGTGGTGGCTGGATGATGGACATTGGGGAGGGTATGTGCTATGGTGAGTGCTGTGAATTGTGTGAGACTGATGAATCACAGACCTGTACCCCTGGGGCAAATAATACATTATCTGTTAATTAAAAAAAAAAAAGAAAAGAAAGAAAAAGAAAAAAAAAAAGGGAGTTCCCAAATATGGTTTAAGGTAAAGAAATGTGAGATTCAGACATCCATTTCATATCTTAGATTTAGGATCACAGAATGGAAGAGCTGGGCACGGTCTAGGGACCAACTAGAACTAATTATTTCATAGTTGAGAATACCAAGGCCAAGGGATCAAGGTCAGAGAATAAGAGAATTACAGCATGAAAGACCCTACAAAGTCTTCCCCATCAATAGGATCCATGCCAACGTAGTCCAGTTGATATTCTGACTATGTCTGAATAAAAAAAAATCTCCTTCTTTCCTAAATCTGTCCATTCCAATGGCTTCCGTGGTAGACTTCTTATTCATGCTGGGGGCATGCCATCCCCTCCGGGTTAGCTAATATGGCCCTCCTAGTAGTCAGCACAGGGTCTAGCACACAGGAGGTCCTCAAACTGAATGACTGAGGGGAAAGTTTCTTCTGATCAAGTCAAAAATCTCTTGGTAGCGCTCACAGGCCAAGTCAGGGACAGAGCTGGGACTAGAACCCAGCTCTTTGGACTCTCAGTCCAACACGATTCTCTTTCCCCCAGTGCGATCTGACAATTGATCCTCCCCAAATGTTGCATGAAATACCTGCAGTCTTGCCAGACAAGGGAGAGTAGAGCAGTCTCTTTCATGCCGAATGTCGGGGAGAGCCAACAGCTTTCTCTTGCCCTGCCCGTGCAGACCTGCTCTGTACAGTGAAGGGGGTAATGACCCCTGCTTTACAGAAGAAACTGAGACCCACGATTTGCCCAGGGGACAGGAAAAGAGTGAACCTAAGTGGCCTCAGTGAACCCACGAGTTAGTTCTAACTCCAACTTCAGTGTTCCCTGAGCCAACTTAAAACACTAGTTAGGAAGTTAGGCTTTATTTTTTTTTTTAAAGATTTTATTTATTTATTTGAGAGAGAGAGAGACAGAGCATGAGGGGGAGGGGCAGAGGGAGAGGAACAAGCAGACTCCCCACCTAGCAGGGAACCAGACATGGAACTCCATCCCAGGACCCTAAGACCATGATCTCAGCTGAAGGCAGAGATTTAACCCACTGACCCATCCAGGCGCCCCAGGAAGTTAGGCTTTAGAGACAAATAGTGCCTAGATTTAAACCTTAACTGATCCACTTACTCTCTGTAGGATGCTGAACACATTACTGATCTTCCCTATGCCTCTGTTTTCTAATCTGCTAAATGAGGGTAATAATAGTACCTACCTTATGAGGTTATTGTAGAAGATTAAATGAGTTAATGTATACAAAGTAAACAGAACAAAGCCCAGCACAGAAGTGTTCAACAACATTAGCTATTGTTCTCTCTATCCCACCTTGCTGCCTTGCCCACAGGGGTGGGTGTCTGTAGCCACGTCTGTACTACGTCTGTGAGCAGGACCAAGAACAGATCCCAGCCCAAGATGCAGCAGACACTCTCTCACTGGAAGACTGTAATCAATTTCAACACATTTCTCGACTCATTCCTGGTAAAGCGCGGCAGAGAAAAAAAAAATTTCCCTTTCCAAAGATATGCCAGAATAAACTAAACAGTATCCTAGAACAAAGCACAGAAATGCTGGAAAAATAGCCCAAAGCATCCTTTTAAAAGTCAAGCTGCCTGGGCAGCTAAGTAAAAGAAATCCCCTAGAATCCAAATGTGGAAAGGAAACTGAAAACCGGCTTAATCCAGGGCTCAGACTCTATTGCCCTGAATGCAGCTTGGCATTTATTTTAGAATTTTACACTCCTCTAAACTGAAGAGCCCAGTAAAGACAGAATTCTATGGAAAAATAGACAAATCTACAGCATGATATGAAATTATAAATGCTCCCTGACAACAATCAGTAAATATGGTAGATAAAAAAATTAGTAAGTATGGAAAAGATCTGAATGTGAAAATTTACGTAAAGTGACCGTGTTTTAGGGTATAGAGCAAGTCTCAACAAATTTCAAACAACTGATATGCAGACTACAATGAAGTTAAGTTAGAAATTACTGGAAAAAAAATAACAATGATAATTTAAAAAGTAAAACCATATATTTGGAGATTTAAAAACCTATTTCCAATAACACATAGTAAAATAACAAATCATAGTGGACATTTAAAAATACTTATAACTGAATGAAAATATCGTATCACATTTGTGAGAGGTCTGCTAACAACACCTTGATGAAAATATACGGCTTAAATGCTGACCTCTTTTTTTTTTTTAAGATTTTTTTCTTTTAAGATTTATTTATTTATTTATTTGACAGACAGAGATCACAAGTAGGCAGAGAGGCAGGCAGAGAGAGAGGGGGAAGCAGGTTCCCGGCTGAGCAGAGAGCCAGATGCGGGGCTCCATCCCAGGACCCTGGGATCATGACCTGAGCCGAAGGTAGAGGCTTTAACCCGCTGAGCCAACCAGGCGCCCCTTAAATGCTGACCTTGAGAAAGAAGACAGACTAAAATTAATAGACTGTGTTCAGCTGAGGGAGTTAAATAACAATGGCATCCATCCCCCTCCAAAAAAAAATTAGAAGGAAAAAAATTATAAAGATAAGAGGAACCGATGCATAGGGGCGCCCTGGTGGCTCAGTCGGTTAAGCATCTGCCTTCGGCTCAGGTGGTCCTGGGATCAGTGTCCCTCATTGGGTTCCCTACTCAGCAGGGAGGCTGCTTCTCCCTCTCCCTCTGCCTGCCACTCCCCCTGCTTGTGCTTTCTGTCAAGTAAATAGTAAATAAATAAAATTAAAAAAAAGAAAAAGAAGAAGAAAGGACGCCTGGGTGGCTCAGTCAGTTAAGTGTCTGCCTTCGACTTGGGTCCCGCATCAGCTCCTTGCTCAGTGGAGAGCCTGCTTCTCCCTCTGCCTGCCGCTGCCCTTGCTCATTCTCTCTCTGTGTCTCTGTCTCTCTCTGACAATAAATAAATAAAATTAAAAAAAAAAAAGATAAGAGGAAATAATAATGAGTTTTTTTGTTTTTTTTTTTTTTTTTAAGATACAAAAGAGGGGCGCCTGGCTATCTGAGTTGGAAGGGCATGTGACTTGATCTTGGTGTTGTGAGTTCGAGCCCCTTGGTATAGAGGTCACTAGAAAAAAATAAACTTTAAAAAGCGATACAAAAGAGAGGATCAACATACTAAAAGCTGGTTCTTTGAAAAGACTAACAAAATAGACAAGCCAGTGGCGACTTTAATCAAGATTAAGAAAAACTTGGGGGGCACCTGGGTGGCTCAGTTGGTTAAGCTTCTGCCTTTGGTTCAGGTCATGATCTCAGGGTCCTGGGATGGAGCCCCACGTCAGGCTCCCTGCTCAGCGGGGAGCCTACTTCTCCCTCTCCCCCCTCCCCCACTCCCCACTTGTACTTTCTCTCTCTCTAAAATAAATATCTAAAAAAAAAAGATTAAGAACAACGTTATGCCATTAAATTTAAAAATAGACAAAATACATAATTTATCTAGAAAAAAATTACTAAAACCAAAGAAAAAGTAAGAACCCTTTAATCATGGTGGGAAATGAATCAATAGTTAAAATTCACCTGCAAAGTGGTGCCTGGGTGGCTCAGTGGGTTAAAGCCTCTGCCTTCAGCTTGGTTCATGATCCCAGCGTCCTGGGATCGAGCCCCTCATTGGGCTCTCTGCTCAGCGGGGAGCCTGTTTCCTCCTCTCTCTCTGCCTGCCTCTCTGCCTACTTGTGATCTCTCTGTCAAATAAATAAATAAAATCTTTAAAAAAAAATTCACCTGCAAAAATAACACCATCCCAGCTAGTTTCACAGGAGGTGTCACCAAATATTCAAGGCACAGATAATTCCAGTCTTAGCACAAACACCTCCAGTGGAAACAGAGAGCTCCCAAATCATTGAGTAAGATTTATAGAACCTCAACACCAAAATCTGATACGGACTATGCAAAAAATGAAATTCATAGGCTAATCTCACTCTTGAGTATAGACACAAAAATCCTGAAACACACACCCAAAACCTGAAACTAAGATTAGCAATCCAACCTTAAAAATTTTGTATAAGGGTGACACAAGGGGAAGGAGAGGAGGGGGCTCGGTGATAAGAGGGTAGCACGAGGGATCCTTACAATGGAACTGTTCTCTATCTTGGCTGTGGGAGACATCACACGAATCTACATGAGATAAATCTGCACAGAAATAAATACACACACACACACCACACAGACGAGCGCAGGTTAAACTGCTGAAACATGCATAAGGTGGGTTGTACAGGCGTCGATGTCCCGGTTATGATACTGTACTATACAGTTAGGTAACATGTTATCATTGGGGGAAGCTGGACAAAGGGCACAGGGGATATGGCTCTATGATCATTTCTTACAACTATATGTGAATCTACAATTACCTCAAAATTTAAAATAAAAAAAAATACATATGATCAAGCTTACTAGAAGGAATTCAAGATGGTTTAGTGTGAGAAAGTCTTATTAATGTATTGCCATGTTTGGCAATTGATTGATGGGGAATAAAGCATATCTATAAACTGACCAACGGCATCATTAAGAACCTGCAGCAAACATGATAAATAATGGAAAATAGAAGCAATCAGAAGAGAACTTACACAAGCTCTGCCCATCACCTACCCACGTACCTGCATGTGCGCCCCTACGCTCTGCCTTCCGTTTCAGCATGTGAATGCCCAGGCTCTTACCTCCAGCTACCTCTCCATTTGTCTACTAGATCCCACCCCCCTTGTTGTACCTGAGTATCCCCCTTTCTCCTTCACCATTAATTGTCTCCTCTCTACCAGACAATGATTACCAGCATACACAGAATAATTTCTCCCATCTTAAAAATACCTTCTTGATCCCATACCACCCCCCCGACTATCATCCCATTTCTCAGCTCCTTTCTTGCAGCAGAGCTCCTCAAGTGTTGGCTGTGCCAACTCTTCCAAATTACTCTTCTGTTCTCTCTGAAACCCACTCCGATCAGACTTCCACTCCACCACTCTACAAGACACTCCCTCCATCATAATCTCCACTGATGAACATGTTTTTCAATCCAATGGCCCACTCTCATTTCTCACCTTACTTAACCTCTGCAACATTTGACATCCCACCTCCCTGAAACCTCTTATGTGGACACAACATCTTAGCTTGACTCCTATCTCATTTGTTGTGCCTTCTTGGTCGACTTTGCTGGTTCCTCCTATCCTCATCTTCCTCTTCCTCTTTTTAATTTCAATGTGGGGCTCCAGCTCATGACCTTCAGATCAAGAGTCCCAGGCTCCTCCGACTGAGCCAGCCAGGCGCCCTCCTTTTATCCTTCTATCTTCTTAATGGTTAACTGTGCTCTGGAGCTCTGTCCTTGGATCCCTGCTTTTTTCTTATCTATTCTTAATCACTTAGTGATCTCATCCCTTCCTGTGGCTTTCAGTTTATATCACTCATTTATACACTCATGGAATCTGTCTTCAGCCTAGCCCTCTCCCAACTTACACATATCCAGCTACCTCTTCAACATCTTCCCTTGGATATCTAACAGGCGTCTCAAATTTAACACATCCACATCTGAGCACCTAATCTCCTCCCCTGTCAACCATCACTCTACATGTGGTCTTACCCCACCTTGGTAAATGGTTACCTCATCCTTCCAGTTCTCAAATCAAGGCATTCAAAGGGAAAAAAAAAAAAAAAAGTTAACAGTTATCCTGCCCCCCTCCCGTACCTTTCTCTCTTGCCTATATCCAATCCATCAGCAAATTCTGCTGTTTGTTCCTTCAGAATAAACACAGAATCCAGACACTTCTCACCATCACTCATGTCCAAACCACTCTTGTCTTTCACCTGGGTTATGACACCAGCTTACTAATCATTCTCCCTGCTTTTACCTATGGTCACTTCTCAACATAGTAGCTAGTCTTCCTTTTAATTTTTAATTTTTTTAATTTTTAAATTTTTATTTATTTTTAAAGATTTTATTTTATTTATACAGCAGGGAGAGAGGAAGAGATAGTGAGAGGGCTAGCAGGTAGAGAGAGAGGGAGAAGCGGTCCCCCACTAAGCAAGGGGCCTGATGCGGGTTCAATCCCAAGACCCTGGGATCATGACCTGAATCGAAGGCAGACGTTTAATTGACTGAGGCACCCAGGTGCCCCACTGTGTTCCTTTTTAATCTTAAGTCATATCATCTTACTGTGCACAGAAATTTCGAAAGACTTCCGACTTTACCCAAACTAAAGGCAAAGCCCCTGTGTGGCCAGCGGGGATACTATGTGTGTGGCTCCCCCCATACCCTGCCTCTCGGACGTCACCTCCTGCTGCTTTCTTTCACTCTGCCTCCAGCTCATAGGCCCCCTTGCTGCTCCTCCAATGTGCCAGGTGCGCTCCCACCTTCGGGCTTTTGCACTTGCCATTCCTTCTTTCTAGAACTCTCCCTCAGATATCTGGTCCGTTCCCTCACCTTCTGTAAATTTTGTGCAAATATCAACCTTTACTTAGGTCATTCCCGATCGCAGCGTATGCAATCACAAACCCCGTTCCCAACAAGGACGTCCCCCTTCCTATGCTGAACTTCTCCATAAAACCTTCGACCTTCTGACATAGCATGTATTTAATCATCGGCCTTCCCCTACCCATCCACCCACCCCGACTAATGATGTAAGTTTCAGGAAAACAGGAATTTCCGTATGTTTTGTTCACTGTGGAATCTCGAGCACAGAGAACAACGGTGCTTGGCACGTGGTGGGTGCTCACAGATTTGTTAAACGGCGAAACGCTGTGAGTATGCCCTTTGAAGTCAGCATCTGCTACACTCGATTCTTTTGATATTGTACTGAGGCCCTAGCCAGCGCTGTCAAGGCGAGAAAATAAAAAGGATGAAGAAAAAGAGAGAGAGAGAGAGAGAGGAATGGTCATGCTAAGAGCCGCAGGACTGAGCACAGAAGAGCTGCCTGGCCTCCTGGAAGCTTCTTCTTTCCTTCAGGTTCTTAGAGGCTTCTGTATCCTGCCAGGAAGTTCCCTGTTTTTGCTCAAGCTAGTTCAACTGGGTTTCATTCTACGCAATCAAAAGAACCTTGACTAAGAGCGTGCCAAGCCTGCACCACTGTCCATGCTGGGGAAGGAAGGATGGCATGTCCTGAAAGAAATCCACAGTCCCGACCTGTGAGGAGCATAGCTGAGAGTGAGGAGGTGGCAGTGGCGGTGGGGTCAGCTGGATAAAGGATTGGCAGAGGGGGGTTGCAGAAGGAGCCCTGGCCTGGGAGTCAGAAGATCCAGGCCCTGGATCTGACTCCGGCAGAAGGTTGTGGACCCGGGGCAAGTCAGTTAACCTCTTGGTGACCCATTTCCCCATCTGTCAACAGGACTGTAACTGCCACCTACTGCATAAAGATTGTCGTAAAGAACACTCCACATCCAAGTCTAGAGGTTATTTTCTAATTTAGGGGCTGACCACTACATACTCAGATGGTGGAAGAATGCTACCCTTCCTGATCCTTTACCCCAAAAAAGTCCTTTTCCAGCAGTATTTGCCCCAGTGTGGTACCAGGAATGGTCTTCTCTGCCCAGATGGTAAGAGCACAGCTCAGAGAGATGGGAAACCGACCTTCCCGGGCATCCAGCTTTGCTAGTAGCACAGTGAGTCTGTGAGGTTGGGAAGGGATCCCAGACTGGTCCACACTCTCGAAGCTGGAGTCTTATCCTAGGAGGGGTCCAGAGCATAGGAGAAGGAAAACTACCTACCACTGCTCTCTGGTTCTTCTCTGGCAGGACCTCGGCGACATACTTGGTGATGCTGGCACTCAGAATCTGCAGCCTCTCACACTGGTCCACGATCCTGTTCTGCAATGCAAAGGACACCCATGGTGTCTGGTTCCATGTTGATCCATCCACTCCATCCCACCATCCCAGTGATCTCCCCCCTCTTATCCCACCTCAGCCACTTGCACCCAGGGTCACACCCCAGACCTTGCTATTACTGAGAACTATAGCACTTTCAAATTCTTCATTTAAGGGGCCCACACCCTGCCACTTCTATCCTTCCAGATGACTAACTCTAGATTCCCCAGTCCAACCATTCTTCAGCTCAGCTGAGGCCACCCAAACGTTACTCTTACCACTTTTCTTTGTGTTTTTTTTTTAAGATTTTTATTTATTTATTTGACAGACAGCGATCACAAATAGGCAGAGAGAGAGAGAGGAGGAAGCAGGCTCCCTGCTGGGCAGAGAGCCCGATGCAGGGCTCGATCCCAGGACCCTGAGACCGTGACCTGAGCTGAAGGCAGAGGCTTAACCCACTGAGCCACCCAGGCGCCCCTAGTCTTACCACTTTTCAATGTCCATCACCCACTCTGTGGCTTCAGTTCCCTCCTTCTCCTGAAATCCGTGGTCCATCACCATAATCACTTGCCTGCACACGCTCTCAGTGTTCCTTCTGACCCAGCTCCCTGGCTTTCCACACCTCAGCAGAAGAACATGGCTTCTCAAACTGCCCTTCCCTAAGACGTCCCCATTCTTTAGCAATCATCAACCTCCTTACCCCAACCCCACACCCTGGGGTTACTCTCCAGGCCGGCATGTATCTAATCCCTCAGTGAGTCCTATCAGCCCTGACTCTGCAGTTCCTCTCTCTTCCTGTCTCTCTCTCTCCTCTGGCCACTTCGGGTCACCTCCACTCCTATTATTCTGCCCAGACAGCCATTATCTCTCACAGGAGAGAAATTAGGTCCAGTCACGTCCCCTCCACACCCTCCAATGGCTCTCCAGCGCACTCACGGTGAGATCAAGCGTCTCACTTTAGCCAACAAGGCCCTGTCTGATGGGACTCTGCCTACTGTGCCAATGTCACCTCCTAGCACTCTCCGCACTGGCCTTCTTTCTGTCCCATAAACACACCAAACTTTTTCTGACAACAGTGTCTCTGCATCTGCTGCTTCCTCTGCGGCCAGCAGTCTTCTGGATATATAAAGGGATATAGCCCTTTATATGCAAGTCCCCTCCCCCACTCCATTCAGGGTCACCTCCTCAGAAGCCCTCCCTGACCACCCCCACAGCCCATTCCCTTACTTCGCTTATTTTTCTTTCTTGCATTTATCACACCTCTGCCTGTATATTCTGGGTGTGTTTCCTTGTTTTGTATCTTTCCCCCCATGGCTGGAACACGAGCACCATGACTTTGACTTGTTCGCTATGGGCCACTACCTAGAAGAAAGTTCCTCCTACACATAGAGGCCCTGGATAAATATTTGCTGAATGAATGAACATCCACTTCTGGGACCACAAGAGGTGCCACGGTTCACATCGGCCAGAGCTGGGAGCGTGCCCAGGGGAGCAGGGGAACATTTTAGAAACAAAGATGCTGAAGCCCCCAGAGAGGTGACTTGCCAGGCCCCTGCTTTTCCACTCCATTTCTCCAGGTACTTGAACGTGACTCCTTCCTAGCCAACAGCTCCTCCACGGCTTCCCCTTAGAGCTCTGCCAAAAGGCAGCTGGGCTCCTCTTCTAGGAGACCCTTGCAAATCCTCACCCCCCACAGTCAGGAATTCCATCTGAGGCTTCTCTGGTCCAAATACTGAGTGAAAGAACGGAGCTGCTTCGAGGAAGCTGTGATCAGCACACACCAGAGGACGAAGGAAACCCGGCGAAACTTACAAAAAGCGACAGGACAAGAACCACGAAGGTGAGAGAGAAGTTGTGAATGCTAACCATCTTGCCCTGGGGCAAAATTTCTTTGACACTAGAGGGATCACAGAAGGAGTATGAATCACATATATCATCACAGAAGGAGTAAATGTCATAAGATATTCAAAATTGGAGAAAGGCAAGAGAGAAAGAAGAGAAGGAAAGAAATTCCTCCCTCCACGCAAAGAGGTGAACATACTTAGGACCTCAGTAGGGCTCGGGGAAGACACCCCGGACAGAGGCATTCCGAATCAAGCACCTGCCCGGACACCCTGCCCCAGCCTTCACGCCCTTCTACCACTCGGATGTGGCTCTGGTGGCAACTTTTGGGGTTTATTTTTTTTTTAGGTTTTATTGCATTCTCACACCCATTCGCACCACTTCCTCCCTCCGATGAACCAAGAGGTGGTTTTGTCTGACCAAGTTAATGATTCCCTTGGTCCAGTTCCTGAATATTAGAAACCTTGGAGGAGTTACCAGCCTGCTCTGGGCCTCAGTTTCCTCATCTGTAAAATGGAGGTAGGATATCACTTCCAAAGTTTGGTCCGGATGGAGTGAGATGATGGACATTGAAGTGCTTTGGCGCTTGCAAAGTTTCCACCATTACGCAAGTTTATCATACCACATTATCTGAGCTTATTTTCATCACTCCTATGGATGATGGGTAGCGGTGACAGGTAGGACCAACCAGGAGCTTTCGGGTGTGTCACTGAGTAAGCGAATCCCTCCTGGCCAGTCAGCTAGGTGTGTTTATTACCCTTCAGTTTGAGTCCCCAGGGAGAGCCCTCAGGCCTCACAGAAGGGCAGAGCACTGGGGTGAGGTTGGGGAAACCAAACAGCTTAATCAAATTGCAAGGAAATCCCCAGGGACCGCAACTAGGATGGAAGGAGGGAGGAAGACGCAGGGTAACTTGGACTCCCCAGTCTCAGATCAGGGGCAGGTGGTGATGAAGGTGGCAGCTTGGAGGTAACTGGAGTGGAGGTGAGGAGGAACTCTAGGGGAAGAGATCCACCAAGAACCTCTTGAGATCCTCCCCACCCCCTCCGTTTACCCAGGTCGAGCCAGTTTGGAGTACAGTCAAGACCAACCCCGAAAAGGAAAAGAAATCACCTCACCGGGAAACCTGAAGGGTGGACGGGGGAGGGGCTTTGAGCCCAGGGGCTGAGGAGGGAGGAGGGCCGGCTTTATCTCAGGTCAGCTTCCACCGGGGCGGGAGGTGGGGCACACGTAGTCCCAGGACGTGCAGCGGCCTATGGCCCAAGGCCAGGCCTGGCTCTCACCCCTCAACAGATGCAACGGAGGAAGAGTGGGCAGCTGGATCCGCCACTATGTGGTAGACTACAGAGCATTTCCCCCATTATCTTGGGTCTCTGGCACAACCACCCCAATAAATGAGCGCTATTATTGCCCTACAGATGAGGGCGCTGAGGCTCTGAGACTTACGAGACTCTGAGCTAGGTGGGGAGCAGGCGGGATTCGAACTCACGTCCCCACGACTCCAGAGGCCCCACCCTTAACTGACTAGTTCCAAGGCCAGCCCCACCGCGGGGCCTGGGCCCCGGACCTGCCGCCGGGTCCCCCTCGGCGCTCCGCCACGGCGTCCCCTCCTTCCAAGAGCCTCCCCTCTCCTCCCCCCGCCCCGCCTTCCGGCGCCCCCGCCCGCTCACCCGCAGCTCTTCCGCGCGTTCCTCCGCCCGGCGAATGCGGTGGCCCCGGCAGCGGCCGCCGGGCCCCGCGCAGGCGGCGCACACGGGCCGTCGCTCGGAGCAGCAGAACCAGCTCAGAGCCTGGCCGTGCTCGGGGCACAGCTGCCCGGACGGCGGCCCCGCGCTCTCCGCAGACATGGCCGAGCGCCCCGCGCCGCGCGCTCCACCTGCCGCAGGTGACTGCGGGGCGGGGCCTCCGCGACCCCGCCCCCGGGTCGCGACAGGCGGCCCGGCGCGCTGGCCACCCCGGCTTCCTGCCCGCTTGCCCTCGCCGCCGCCGGGTGGGCGCTCGCCGGCACTCCCGCGCGGGGTCCGCCGGCCTCAGCCAGTTCTGTGATTTTTCTGCTGAATTAAGTCGCCTTGTATGCGTGTTAGTTTTAGGACAAACGTAAAACACCGAGTATTAATGTGACCGTAGCAAACTTAATTGAGCACTTACTAAGCGCCAGACTTTTGGTAAGCGCCTTAAAGCGTTTTATAATGGGCTACAACAGCCCTTTTTTGACAGGCAGCTCTGGACGAGTAGTTTGCAGATAGGTTCTGGTGTTAGGCTGCCTGGGCTCAAATCCCTGCTCACAGGCAGAGCACCCTCGGTGGCCTCAGCTGTAAAATGGGGATAGCGTCGGTACCTGCCCCCACAGACTTGTGCTGTGGCTTAAATGATTAAACAGGACCCGGAGCACACACAGCGGCTGCAATTGCTGAGCGTCTGTTAATAACGCAAGGAAAGTACTAGTATGATCCCCGTTTTTATGGAGGTTAAGTAACTTGCAGGGAGTCACAGTTGCTAATGGGCAGCAATGAGACTGGAATTCAGGCAGCTTGATTTGTAGCTAATATGGTTAATATTTTTTAATTGCATATTAAGGTCCAGTGAGGAACATCTCTATTAGGCTGATTTCCCCAAAGTATTTACAACCAAATTTTCCTCATTTGAAACTTTTTTAATAACGAGTATTGATAAAAACTAATGCATGTTTATTGAAGAAAAGACACTATGCAAATAAACACATCGATGTAACACCCATCCCCAGAAAAAGCCAATGTGGATAAGTGCTGGAGCTGCTTTGGGGCTTTTTTTCTTAGGATCTCGTAAATCAGTGTAAGCCCAGATTAAACCCTCTCCTGGGGCTCCAGTCCAGCCAGCCTGGGCATACAGGGAGAATGCTATTTCCCAGCCCCCAAATTTCATTTTAGGAGGTCTTGGCGGAGGCCTGAGGAGAGAACTCAGCCAAAGGGAGAAGGGGTCAGGCCTTGGGGGTCAGAAGTTATTCTAAATTCACCAGGAGTGGACACTTGTGAAAGCCCAACCCTAAAGAGAAGCAGCAATGCATCCTGCAGCACTTGGGGGCTGAGGCACCTCTACCCCAAGGTCCCTCTAAGTGACAACTGCACAAAGGGTAGAGAAAGATTCCCTTCTGTCCTGTAGCTTCAGTCCCTGAGCCCAAGGGCCGCTGACTGCCCCAGAGCTCCTCCCCTTAAACTACAGGACCTGGGTCTGATCATTTAGTTCCTCTGGGCCTGATCATTTAGTTCCTCTGGGCCTCAGTTACCCCATCTCTAAAATGGGAGTGAGAATAGTATCTACCTCTGAGGGCTGCTTCAAGAATTAAATGAGGTGTTGTCTGAAAGTGCTGAGTTTGGATATATAGTATACAGTAGGGGCTAAAAAATGTTTTATTGTATGTGTGAGGGTTTGTAGCAGGGTTTCAGAATGTAAACAGTGTAAAGTTCTTTGGCAAGGGGAGTGCAGCATTCCTGGCATCAAAAGTCGTTTCTAGTGGGAGGGTGAAGGCTTCATACTCTCTTCTGGGGGTGGGGCTGGAAATGGGCCACCTTAACCAGCAATTGTGGTTAGAATTTTTTGTTCTAAGAGCTGGGCATGGGGAGGGCTCTTAAACCTTCTGGTAAGAACAGAGAAAACAGAAGTGATTTTGTGTGAAGGAAAAGAGACTGTGGAGAGCATGGGGAGGAGCAGGGGTTAAGGTCCTCAGGGAAAGCAGGGCCCCTTCACTGGGTGTGCCCCTGGAGTAGGCAGTGGCCCTGGAGGGCTGGAGTCAGGCAAGCAGGAAAGTCACCAGAAGAACTTCCGGGCAGAGGACTAGGAATTGCCAGGGGCTTAGGTGGAAAAGGATTTACTTTTACAAAGTGGGGATCATTGGTGGCTGGGTTGGTTAAGTGTCTGCCTTCAGCTCAGGTCATGATCCCAGGATCCTGGGATCGGGCTCCCTGCTCAGTGGGGAGTCTGCTTCTCCCTCTGCCCCCCCAACCCCCGTTCTCAGGCTCGCTCGTGCTCTCAAAAATAAATAAATAAAATATTTTAAAATAAATAAATAAAGTGGAGGTCATCTGTACTGCCACTCAGGACTGAAGCATCAGCCCCTTCCCTTAAATGTGCATGTGCCTGACACAAGTTGCCACCAGAAGCCTCTGGATACTCAGAAACTCCCAAAAGATGGCTCTTAGGCTTTATCAGGCTTTGGAATCATCCGGAGTCTGGGGACTGTTGGGGGAGAGGGGTGGTTAAGCATTCACACTTTCTGATAAGATTCTCATCCACTAAATCTGGGGTGGAAGGAGGAATCTGGAAGTGTAGCAGTTGCCCTGAGGCTAGACCACGAATGAAGTCTCTGACCCCTCCTGGATATGCTGTAAGGCAAGGGGGACCCTTTAGCAGGTGGTGAAATCTATTCCAGGAGTGAAGAGCAGCATTAAACAAAAGGAAAGGGAAAGAAAGAAAGATAGAAAGAAAGAAGGAAGAAAAGAAAAAAGAAAAGGAAAAGAAAAGAAAAGAAAAAATTGCTCCTAGTACAGGTTTTTTTTTTTTGTCTGTTTCATTTTCATAAACATGTACACATGTGAGCACTGGGGAATGTATTTCCTATTGAAAGGGTCAAAAAGTTTAAAAGCTGATGCTCTAAAGTGACCTCTGGATCCTTGGTGGGAGTTGGGAGGACTGTACTTGAACACCCCGAGCTGGGGACAGAGAATGGACACTTTTGTTACATTTTATTTTTTTTTAAAGATTTTATTTGTTTATTTGACAGAGATTACAAGTAGGTAGAGAGGCAGGCAGAGAGAGTTGGGTCGGGGGGGAAGCTGAGCAGAGAGCCAGAAGTGGGGCTTGATCCCAGGACTCTGGGATCACAACCTGAGCCAAAGGCAGAGGCTTAAACCCACTGAGCCACCCAGGCGCCCCTCTTTTGTTACATTTTAGTCATTCAACAGATTTATTGACTGTCTACCTATGCGCCGGGCCATATTTAAGACGCCGAGGATACAACCGTAAAGAAGAACAAAGTCTACTCTCTTGAGCAAACAAAATTAACAGACCAGTCATATAATGCTGGTAAGTGAGAAGAGCTGTATGAAACATACTCGGGCATATAGACAGAGGGCTTGAGGGAGGCGCAAATCTAGAAAGGGCGATGGAGGTCATCTCTGGGAGGAGTAGCACTACCACGAGAAAGAGACAGCCAGCAAACCGTGAGAAGGTCTGGGGAAGGAGCTCTCCAAGCAGATGAACTAGCAAGGGCAAAAATTTTTGTTATGCCCTGAACTCTGCTCGCTCCCTCACCAAGGAACCATACACAATTTGCGTTCTGAAAAGGTGCTACAAATATATAGATCCCACAAACATGGTAGAGGAGCCTTTAGCCCCTACTGTATGACGTAGGTGGAACGTGTCTGGAAACACATCCAGGAGGCTGTTAGGCTGCAGGCTTGAGCTGTGGAAACCTGAGCAAGGCAGAAGGGCCCACAGTGACCACCAGCTGAATGCAAACAGGCTCTGTAAGCGACGCACCTCAGGAGACCCCTAGGCCCTAGCTGACCAATGGGCTACTCACAAGTGGGCCCACATTCCCATACCTTCTTGCACCCCATTAACTGTAGCTCCCCCTCCCACCACCGCCTGCTTGCTGCTCCCTGCAATGTATTACAAAAACTTCTATCTCTATCTATCATCTACCTATCTATCTATCTACCTATCTATCTCTATCTCTATCTATCTTCTATCTTCTGCCCTGGGTGAACCCTCTCACCACCCACCTCCACAGAACGTGTTTATTTTGACAAAATTGGGACTATCTGCACATTCTGCCCTGTAACCAGACTTCTCACTTGTCTATTTATGCTATGTAGTTTGGGTTGTCCTTTTTTTTTTTAACTTTTTTGGTAGTGAATATTAGGGAAAGTCTGTAGGAAAGGACTGTATCTCCTTGGCCTTTACTCTCCCTCAGGCCTGCTCTTCAACCGCAGACCCAGCCCTCCTCTGCCCGCCTGGCCAGAGGCCCATGCCTATTGCTGATCCCACCTCGCCCTGTCCCCATGCCTCCTTCCTCCTCAGACCCTGAGGCCGCCAAAGTCTCCGGTGACAGGACTGGAAGTCATCTGACCTGGGCTTGTATCGGTTCTTGTAAGAAGTAGCAAGAGGACTATCAACGCTGTGGCTTCTTTTCTGTGTGACTTTCTATGGCAGAAACAGCCTCAACTGTCACCTTTAAGAGGGGCTTGGCAGCCTGCCAGTGTGGAGAAACTTAGACCGCACAGTTCTCATGTGATTAAGTCCAGGCCCCCGGGGAGAGAGTCCTCTCTGCTTGGGTCTGACCAGTCTGGACGGAATGAGATCAGTCTCCATGGGGCTCTAGGACCATCCTATTTCACAGGAAGGACAATATCAAACTGGGGAGGTTAGGGAGAGAATAACCAGCTCAGGAGGTAAAGAGCCGATAATTAAGATTATACAAGGCAGGGTTGGAGGTACTGGCAATGTTAGGCCAAGTGAATGAAAAATGAGAGTTGCTTCCATCCATAACAATCTACCTTGTGTCTTAATTGGCTGTCTATGATTGTCATCTTTTTGGCTGTTTATTCAGAAATATTCAATGTGGGGCACTTGGCTGGCTCAGTCGGTAGAACATGTGACTCTTGATCTTGGGGTTATGATTTGGAGCCCCATATTTGGTGTAGAGATTACTTTAAAAAATAAAATATTAAAATTTTATTTATTTATTTTCACAGAGAGAGATCACAAGTAGGCAGAGAGGCAGGGAGAGAAAGAAGAGGAAGCAGGCTCCCTGCTGAGCAGAGAGCCCGATGTGGGGCCCGATCCCAGGACCCTGAGACCATGACCTGAGCCAAAGACAAAGGCTTTAACCCACTGAGCCACCCAGGCGCCCCTAAAAAAATAAAATATTAAAAAAATAATCAATGAGCATCTACTGTGTGCTAAACCTGCCTGGTCCAATACCATAGTCACTAGCCGCAGGTGGCTACTAAAGTTACATTCAAATTAAATACAATTTAGGGATGCCTGGGTGGCTCAGGTGGTTCAGTGTCCGCCTTCGGCTCAGGTCATGATCTCAAGGTCCTGGGATCGAGCCCCACACGGGGCTCCCTGCTCAGCAGGGAGTCTGCTTCTCCCTCTCCCTCTGCCCTTCACCCCCTACTCGGTGCTTGCTCTCTATCTCGCTATTGCTCTCGAATAAATAAATAAGTCTTTTAAAAAATTTACAATTGAAAATTCAGTTCCTCAATTGCTCTAGCCACACTTTAGGGGCTCAATAGCCCCATGTGACTTGGGGTCAGCTCATCTATAGACAGTGCAGACATAGAACATTCCATCATACCAGAAAGTTCTATTGCAGTGCTGTGCTAGACCCTGTATTAGACACCAGCAAAAGACATGGGTGTAAGGAAGACTCGGTCACTGCCCTTATGGGGCTCAGAATCAAGTGAGCGAAGCCAGTAAATGGAAAATCACACCGAGTTAGGGTAAGAGTGGAGGCCTTGGAAGTGCAAAAGAAGGGTAGCTAACTCAATGTGGAGGAAGAGGGGAATGGTTAGGGAAGACCTGAGGGTAGAGGGGGAGATGGCCTCTATGCTGTGGTTAATAGTTAGACATGCACGTGTAGGGATGTAGGGGAGATGCCCTGGGCAGAGGAAACACCGTGTACAAGGATTCAAAGGCAGCAGAAGGGGAGCCAAGAAGCTCCAAGTAGTTTAGACCATTGAAACCTAGAGTGTGGGGGCCAAAGGGGGAAGATGGACTAAAGAGATATAGACCAAGTCCTACTGACCTAGGGAAGGAATTTGGATTTTATCTTGAATATCAGTTATCTATGGTCCATAACAAACCACCTCCAAAGCTTAGTGGATTAAAATGACAGCTCACAGTTCTGTGGGTTGGCAAATTGGGCTGGGTTTGGGTGGGCTATTCTTCTGATGGTTACTCGTGTGTTTGCAGTCATCTGACGGCTCATCTAGGACTGGATGGTCTAAGATATTCTCACTCACATGTCTGCCATGTGGTGTTAGTTATTGGGTGGGCCCTGTGTCTTAAACAGATGAGACATGTTTCTTCCCATGGTGGCAGTGTTCCAAGAAGATGAGAGAAGAGACTACAAACCTCTTTGTGGCTTAAACTCGGAAGTAGCCAATGTCACTTCCACCACATTCTGTTGGTCAAAATAAGTTACGAGATGAGAGAAGCTACAGAGAGCTTGTGGCCATCACACTCTGGCATGATGTTGGCCTGAACCAAGATGGTGGGTAGAGAGAAGTGGACAGATTTTTTTTTTTAACGGATATTTCAGGGGCAGAATTAAGAAGTCTTGGGGTTTGTTCTGGAACAAGGAAGAGAAAATAAAGTTACAGATGACTCCAAGATCCTTGGTGTGGGTGACTGGTGAGTGCCCAGCATTCAGAGGGAAAAGAGGAAGAACAGGTTTGGGACAAAGATGATATTTTCAGTATGAGTCACAGCCAGGTGGAGATGGACAGAAAGCAGGTGGATATACAGGTGTAAGGAGAAGTCTGGCTAGTGATACCAGTTTGGGAGTCTCAGGTGCCTTAAGCCTAAAGCATCTTCCGTAAGAGCTGCATCCTCGGAGCTGGGAAATCTTGAGGGCAGGGATCAGACAAGTCGAATCTGTAGCTGCACTGAGCCTAGCCCAGTGTCTCAGGGCAAAACAATCACTCTCTCCTGGTTGAATGTTGCCAGGTTATTGTAGGCAAAAGAGATTAAGCTAGTAGGGTGAACTAAGATCAGTGTTGTGTGGGGGTAGATCCCAGCTCCTGACAGAAACAACAGGACACTGACTCAGAAAGTAATGAGTGAGTCATCAACGAGGGAGATCAACAGGAGCTAAAAGAAACCCCATCAGGAATGCTGTGGAAGATATTGCCTCTTTGCATGGGAAGACAGACCCAGTAGGCCAGCCCTAATATTCTGTGAAGGTAATTTTCTCTTACCAACCCTACTCCTGTTCCCACAGGCACCCAATTTTCAGAAACCCCATGAGGCTTCACTGAAGGCAATTTTGGTGGGAGATCAGCCCTGCAGCATGTCCCTTCTAGGTGCAAGAGAAATGTTGGCTCAGATCCCATTCATTCATTCATTCATTCATTCATTTCCTCATTCAACATTCAACAAACCCTTACTCTACACCAAACCCTGTTCACTAGGAATACAGAAATGAGTAGACTTTAGTCTGGAAGCAATGTACCTGTAGCTGCTGTTGGTTTCTGGGACCGTCTTCCCATTGGATGTCATGAAGGCATTGAGGGGTCTCTGCTGTGGTCCTGGGCTGTAACAGTATGATGAAAGAAATTAAGAAAGAAGGAGAGAAGAAGAGGAGAGAAAGAAAGAAAGAAAAAGGAAGGAAAGGAGAGAGGAGGAAGGGAGAGACTGGGGCGCGGGGTGGGTGGGTGGGTGGTGGTGGGTGTGGACTTGGGGAAGTGTCCAAAAGAGGCATCACGAGGTAGAATCACAAAGAAATATAACATTACTCCATCTGAGCGAATAATTATTTAAAATATGACATTTATTCAGTACTTCCTTGGCGACTATTACGGTGGTACCGCTTTTCTTGCATTACATAGATTCCCCGGGGGCACGGTCTGGGGGCACAAGCGTCCCCTTCTCTGGAACCTCACCACCGCATCGTTCCCGTCAGAAAACAGAGCTCGGCTCTCTGGGCCCGGCCTCCGGGAGACGTACCGCGAACGGAACTGGGGCTCGGGGGCGGGGAGAGCGTCTGGAGGCTTTTCGCGGGGACTCCTGCCCTAGCGACGCGCGCCTCGTTGCTAGGGGCGGAGGCGCAGGAGGCTGTGGTGCTTGGTGCCTGCCGACGCCCTCCACTCTGCGCCCCCGCCGGCCTCAGCTCCCGGCCCCGCCAGCCCGCCGGTGGGTATGGAGCACAAGTGGGGGGTAAGGGGTGCAGCTGGGTGTTGGGGGCGGGCGGGGAGGTGGGAGCCCTCGCGCACCTGCAGCCGCGCACCTGGTCAAAGCGGGGAGTTCGATCGAGGGCTGGCCTTGGGTTGGGTGGTGCTACACCTACTCCCCCCACCCCCAACCCTCGTCCCAGCCGGGTCTTGGGTGAACTGCGCCCCACCCTGCCTCCCCCGACCCCCCCCCCAACATAGAAAATAAGCTTTGGTAGTCCACATGGATAGGACGGGGGACGTCTGTGATCTAAGAGCCTGGAAGGAAAAACTACACAGACTGTCCCCCAGCTTGGGGCAACCTTGGAAGTTCCAACCTCGTGCTGATTCCCTGGGAGACTCTGAGCCTCAGTTTCCCCATCTGTACCATTAGAGTGTCGAATCAGACCATCTTCCAGTGCTTCCAGTGCGGCTTTGTTTGTATCTGAACTTTGGGTTTGATGCCTTGTGCGCAGAAGGAGATTTGGGGGGAGGGAGGGCGGTATGAAATCAGCATTTACGTGAACACTGATTGGACCAGGAGTCTAGGGAAAGGAGGTCTGGTACTCTAGCTCGGCCTCGTGTGATCTTTAGCAAGTCGCAACCCTTTGAGTCCCACTTTCTTCGCGGAAAATAACAGTTGGGTTTATGCTGGAGTATTTCGAGGAATACGGCACTGGAGAGTTAAAAGAGGATCCTCTGAGTTATGTTTAAAGTGACCGCGGGGTATCTTAAGGTGTATGGAAAGCAAATTCGGGCAGAAATGGGTCCTGGGATTCAGATTTAGGCCAGGTTTCATCTGGAACCAGCAAGGATATTCCAGAGCCATAACTGAGTTTACGGCTTTTCTAAGTCCTCTCCAGCCTTTCCTGACCTGAAATTTGGGACAGAGCCCAGGTAACTGTTCCCTGAATGATCTGTTGTTGGGCAATTTTGAAGGACCCTTATATTGTTGGGTCCTTCAAAAGCTGACAGGGTGCCTGGCTGACTCAGTCAGCAGAGCATGTGACTCCTGAGCTCACAGTAGCTTGAGGTCAAGCCCCAGGTTGGGCATGGAGCCTACCTTATTTTTATTTTTTAAAGACTTGTTTATTTGTTGTTGAGAGAGAACATGAGTGGGGAGGGGAGGGGTGCAAGTAGCAGAGGGAGAGGGACAAGCAGACTCCATGCTGGGTACCGAGCCAGACCCCTGGGGCCCCACTTGGGCCCAGTCTCACAACCCTGAGATCAGGACTTAAGCTAAAACCAAGAGTCCTATGCAGCAAAAAAAATATTTTTATGCTAAATCCTCCTAAGCTACGCAGGCACCCCTGGAGCCTACATTAAAAAAACAAAACAAACAAACAAACAAACAAAAAAACCTTCTTGCCAAACAGACTCTTTACCTTAATATACCATCCATTCATTCACTCCACAGATATTTGCCTTGCATTCATTATCCCAGGCTATGCTTTAAGCTCAGATACAAAAATGAATAAGACCCCATCCCTCCTCGAAAGTATATTATGTGTTCACAGTATAAACAGTGGAAAGATAACTGAGTAGAATTTCACTGCTTAGATTACTCATAAGAAATCACAACTATAGGGGCCCCTGGGTGGCTTTGGCTCAGGTTGTGATCCCAGAGTCCTGGGATCGAGCTCCGCATCAAGCTCCCTGCTCGGCGGGAAGCCTGCTCCTCCCTCTCCCATTCCCCCTGCTTGTGTTCCCTCTCTCTCTGTCTCTCTCTCTGTCAAATAATAAATAAAATCTTAAAACAAAAATCACAACTATATGAACATTATCCAAGTATGTATACTTTGTTGTTGAGATTTTAAATTGCCTTGGTATATAATGTATAACTTAATGAATTCTTAGCCTTAGTGTGATCAATCACTCTGGCTAGAAGACATAATTGGCTTCAACTTAATGTCCTTCAGACTCATTTGTAAATATTCTCTGTATATATTTGTTACATATGTTTAATATGTGTGTGTTAACCATAGTATTAAGGGTGAAGTTGGCAGAAATTGCTCCTTTCAGTTGCTGTCACTCATGCCAGTGGCCAGGTGCAGCTGAGGGCTGTCTACGCACAAGCTTTTGCAGAGATGCAGTATACTATGCTGATGGAGAGCAAGCTCTTCTTGCCACTTATTTGCAACTTATCTGTAAATTCGGGCAAGTTATGTAACCTCTCCGCACCTCACTTTTCTCATCTGCAAAACAAAAATAATGACAGCATCTAGCTCAGAGGCTTGTGGAATAAATCAGAAGAGTTAATAAATATAAAGCATTTAGAATAATCCTTGGTGCATGCTATCTTTAATCCTTCCAGAAGCCAGTGAGAGAGATTATTCCATTTTACCTAGACAAGTCAGACTCCAAGAGGGTCAGCAATTTGCCGACTGCAGTGAACTGTTCCCGTGCCAAAGCGCTGAACCAAATGTTACCCTGACCTCCCCCCCCTTTTTTTTTAAGATTTTATTTATTTATTTGACAGACAGAGATCACAAGCAGGCAGAGAGGCAGGCAGAGAGAGAGGAAGGGAAGCAGGCTCCCTGCTGAGCAGAGAGCCCCATGCGGAGCTCGATCCCAGAACCCTTGGGATCATGACCTGAGCCGAAGGCAGAGGCTTTAACCCACTGAGCCACCCAGGCACCTCTCCCTGACCCTTCTGTATTGCTCTTCAGTTTTAGAATAAGCTACACTGTCCATTGGTGATTAGAATTTACTTATTCAAGTTTTTAAAATAGATTTGTTAAAATGCACTAAAACTATGTTTCTTCTTTGGAGATGTTTATAAGGGAAACTCTAGACTAGAAGTCAAGAGATGTACCTAGTTAGAATTTTGAGCAGATAATGTTTCTGCCCCTGGTTCTTCAGATTTCTGAATTAAGGGTTTAGAGTGATGATTTTGAAAAGCTCTTCCATCTCAAATTCTGTGATTCATACTTCTTGAAGTACTATTTTAAGCAGGAGAAATTGGCTTTTTCGCAGAAACAGTAGCAGTCAGCTCTGAAAATTTTTGAACAGAAGCACTATAAGTAAAATAAAGATGTTTAATGATATATTTAAGTATTTAAATATATCCTACTTTGGAGGCACCTGGCTGGCTCCGTTGGTGGAGCATGTGACTCTTGATCTTGGATTTGTAAGTTTGAGTCTCATACTGGGTATAGAGATTACTTAAAATAAAATCTTTTAAAAATAATAATAATAGGGTGCCTGGGTGACTCAGGGGGTTAAGCATTTGCCTTCAGCTGGGCTCATGATCCCAGTGTCCTGGGATCGAGCCCCGCTTTGCCATTGGGGCTCCCTGTTCTACAGGGAGTCTGTTTCTCCCTATCCCTCTGCTCCTCCCCCCAGCTCATGCGCACAGGCCCTCTCACTCAAATTAAAAAAAAAAATCTAAAAAAAAAAGTAGCACATGTATATACCTATACCTATACATATATACACAAATACACACACACACACACACACATATATACATACACATATATATGTGTGTGTGTATATATATATATATATTTTTTTTTTTTTTTAAGATTTTCTTTTTAAGGGGAACCTGGGTGGCTTAGTCATTAAGCATCTACCTTTGGCTCAGGTCACGATCCCAGGGTCCTGGGATTGAGCCCCGTGTTGGGCTTCCTGCTCGGCAGGAAGCCTGTTTCTTCCTCTCCCATTCCCCCTGCTTGTGTCCCCTCTCTCGCTGTATCTCTCTCTGTCAAATAAATAAATAAAATCTTAAAAAAATATTTCTTTTTAATAATCTCTACACCAAATGTGGGGCTCAAACTCATAACCCCAATATTAAGAGTCGCATGCTCTAATGATCAAGCCAGCCAGGTGCCCCCTTACTTTGTATATCATAAAAAATAGATATCTCTGGGCACCTCACTGGCTCAGTAGGTAGAGTGTGTGACTCTTGATCTTGGGGTCCTATGTTCAAGCCCTATGTTGGGTGTAGAACTTTATTTATACTTAAATGAAAATAAAAATAGATGTATAATTAACATTATGGTATACTTTCCCTAATTGTTGGAAATGTGCCCCTTACATGACCTTGGAATTTTGTAAGATATTACTTTCTTTGTGAGGGAAAGCTGCACTTAACAATCTCTTTCATTTAACAAGGTCTTTATTTACCTTGTGAATCTCCTTTCAGTGCAAATATATGCTCAGAGAAGAGATTAATTTAAGCATCTTTTCAGTAATGACAGAGATTAGGAAGTTGCTGCCTAAACTGTTTTCCAAAGGATAAACATTACAAAGTGTTAAATATGGAAGCTCACCAGAAGGTCCTATTCGTTTGGGGGTAAATAATTCTAAAAGTTATCTTTTGCTTAGAATGTCCTGTGAGTGCTCTTCAAAAGGGAAATACGGCTGTCTGAAGATATCAGCTAAGAATCCAATCAGTGTTAAGTAAAGCCAATCCATTTATAGCATCTGCTCTTTTTGGTGACCTAGATCTATGGATGGCACCTGTCCTTAGTTTGATGGTAATGTTGAAAAATGGGCTATGCTTACAGATAGGCAGCCCAGCAACCTCCATCGGTCTATAAGCAGTACAACATCCCAAGATTTTTGAAAATTATCCTGGAATTTTTTCTGGCAGCATATCATATACTTATTACAGAGAATTTTAGACTGTCTGAACTGGAAGGGACCTTAGATTCACACTACTTAACAAGAAATGTTTTTGCCATACTGTGCAAGCCACTGGAGGTACAAAGATGAGTATGATATGATAGACTCCTTCCTCTCATGGAATACACAGTCTGCTAAAAAGTATTTAGTCTGGTGTCATTTACAGATGGGGAAGCTGAGGTGTAGAGCAGGGAGCGGAAGAACCCAAGGACACACAGTGGGATGAGGGAGAGTTGGGGCTGGAGCCCAGGGCTCCTGGTGCCCCCCACACACTGTTCTTGTCACTGCACTGTGCTTCTGTACAGCTACCTGTCTTGTCTGGAGGTCGGTTCTGGCAGCTTTTCAAAATGAATGCTGAAATTCTTCTGGAATTTTCATGGTATCACTGAGAATATTTGGTGAGTTTTCCCTGCTGTTGTTCCTGTAGACCATTCTGGTCATTCCTATAGAGCCGGACTGGTCAGGCCTATAAGACACTCATTTCCTAGGGGTGTCTGGGTGGCTCAGACAGTTAAGCATCCAACTCTTGATTTCAGCTCAGTCATGATATCAGGGTTGTGAGATTGAGCCCTGTGTCTGGCTCTGTGCTGAATTTGGAGCCTGCTTAGGACTCTCTCTCTCAGGGAATTTGGGTGGTTCAGTTGGTTAAGTGTCTGCCTTCGGCTTAGGTCATGATCTCAGGGTCCTGGCATCAAGCCCCGCCTCCACCTCCTATCTGCAGGGAGTCAGTTTCTCCCTCTTCCTCTTCCCCACCATCCTCCCACCCCTGCCATGCTCTCTCTCGCATTCTCTCTCTCTCAAATAAATATAATATTTTTTGAAAAACATTCTCTCTCTCCCTCTACCCCTTCTACCTTCCAAAATGATAATTATTTTATTTTTTTAAGATTTATTTATCTGAGAGTACACACACACACACACACACACACACACACACGAGAGAGAGAGAGAGAGAGAGAGAGAGAGAGAGAGAGCGCGCGCGCGCGCACGAGTGCACCAGTTGGGGGCACAGGGAGGAGAGGCAGAGGAAGAGGCAGACTTCTTGAAAGGGTCTCAGGAATCCATACTGATCTAGATCATTACCTGTGTCAGCTCTCACATCTCTCTCTCTCTCTCTCTTTTTTTTTTTTTTTAGTAGACTCTATACTCAACATGGGGCTTGAACTCATGACCCTGAGATCAAGAATTGCATAATCTATGGACTGAGCCAACCAGGTGCTCCTTTAGCTCATTGTTACTACAGAATAACCCCATGACCTGGTACACTGATTTAGAGAAGTGTCACATGAAATTATTTTTTAAAAACCCAGCAAGCTAGGAATAACTAAGGCTCTTCCTTTCCAAGAAGCTATACTGGTAAAAATTATTTCTTAGTTTCAAATACATATTCCTAGTATTTGTTGTGGTAGAATACATATAACATAAAACTTACTCTTATTTAGTACATAGACAATGTTCACTGTCTAGTTCCAGAACATTTTTGTTGTTGTCCAAAAAGGAGACTCTCTACTTATTAAAGTAGCCACTCCACACAGGAACCCCAAGAAACCTCTCTGTAGTTTTAAAATTAGTTTTGTTTTTGCTTTTGCTGATCTGCTAATGCTTTATGGGAGGGTACATTCCTGGGGCCATGAGAAGAGTCAAAGAAAAGAGGAAAAGCAAATGAGTACAATGGATTAGTCTTTTAAAAAAAGAAGGCTTGCAGGGCACCTGGGTGGCTCAGTCAATTAAGCATCTGCCTTCGGCTCAGGTCATGATCCCAGGGTTCTGGGATCGAACCCTGCATGAGCAGTGAGCCTGCTTCTCCCTCTCCCTCCGCCACTCCCCCTGCTTGTGCTCTCTCGTTCTTTGTCAAATAAATAAATAAAATAGGCTTTATTTTTAGGTCACCAGACTACCATTGTCATGCCTAATGACATTAACAGTATGTATTCTTTTCACTAAGCAGGGACGACAACTTCCAGCAGCCACAGGGGATGCCACTGCTTGGCTGCCATCTGAAACGAGCTCCTTCTCACAAGGTTTTGTGTCGGTTCTGTGCAGCGATGGGGAAACTGCAAAGCAAACTCAAACACAGCACTTACAAATACAGGTACAGCCATCTGACACTGGGATCCCAAGTTTTATCATGTCGCATTAAAATTCTCTACTAAAGAAAGAGAAGGCCCAGAGCGATTACTGATGACCTTCCTTGAACAGTTTGGTCTGTTTTCTTTTGGATGAGAAGCAACTGATTAGCTAGTGTCCTCAGCCCCACAGAGAGGGGCCTGGCATCTTTGGGATGCCTGGCCTGGTATCTTTGGGAATAAGCTCCAGATGAGCAAAGACTCCTGGCTTCTTGGCCTCAGGATTCCCCTTTATCAGATTCTAGTCCTTCGGCTGTTCTGAGTGTGCTCGGCATTGATAATCCATTTCTGGTAATGGCCTTGGGTCTCCCTTCTGTACTCCTTTCCCAGATTTCTCCTCTGCCTGGCCTCTCCCATAGCCTGTCCCGTCTTCCCCTTACCCCACTGCACTCCATACCCCAGGGACTCTCATTTGCCATCCTCTCTTTAGCAGGCCTGATGGGATTATAGAGGAGAGAATTCAAACTAAAGCTTGTCTGGAGTATAGCCCAGCCCACACGGAGAGTGTCTCTGTCGTTGCGGCTCTGAACTCAGACCTGTGTGTCTCTGGAGGAAAAGATAAGGTGGGTTTGCTGTGCTTCCCAGGGAACCAGCTGACTGTGGAGAAGGGAAGATGTTGGGGAAGGAAATGCTGGTTCTGTGTTTCTGGCAGCAAGGTTGAGTAGTGTAAAACCATAGGCTTTAGACTAAGGAAGGCTGGCTCTGAGTCCCTGCTCTGCCTCTTCCTGTTCCTCTGGGCAAGTCATTTACTGCTCGTGAGCCTCAGTCTCCACATCCATGGAATGGGGATGAGAATGCCAGCCTCCCAGGGAAGCTGTGAGGGTTTGGTGGTAAGATCTTCAGTGATGTGCCAGATCGCCCACATGCCTCTTATAATTGACAAGTATTATTCTGACCAAGCCATTTCATACCCACACACAGACATAGGAGCTAGTTGTCAACAAAAGGAGACTTCCTTGGGGTGCCTTGGTGGCTCAGTCGGTTAAGCATTTGCTTAACCCTAGGATTGCTTAACCCTAACCAACCCTTGATTTCAGCTCAGTTTGTGATCTTAGGGTGGTAAGATCGAGCCCCGCATCAGGCTTCACACTTAGTGGAGAGCTGGAGCCTGCTTGAGATTCTCTCCCCCTCTCCTTTTGCCCCCATCCCTGCTTGTGTGCTCTCTCTCTCCCCCTCTCAAATAAATAAATTAAATAAATAAATAAATAAATAAAATTTTTAAAAGGAGACTTCTAGTCTTTTTTATGCTGTTCTTTTGTCAAAATTTCAACAGTGGTGAACATTATGATTTCTCCCTTTTGTGTTTCTGTCCTTCCTCCCAGTATCAGCTGCATCTGGTTGCTTCTCCCCCCATATTTGCATCGATCACAGGACTCACAGCTAGGACATTGGTAGCAGAAATGTTAATTCTTTTAATTCCTCTCATTTTCATACTGTATTTCGTGGATTTTTTTTTTTTAAGATTTATTTTACTTATTTTAGAGAGAGAGCAGGGGTTGGGGGGAGGAGGAGAGGCAGAGGGAGAATCAGACTTCCTGCTGAGCTCGGGGCCCACTGTGGGGCCCAATCCCATGAGCCATGAGATCACAGCCTGAGCCAAAACCAAGTGTCGGACGCTTAACTGACTGCGCCATGCAGGCACCTGACCAATTTTTTTTTTTTTAAGATGACACATTTTTTAAATACACAAAATAGAAGTACAATACAATTAGGAGGGAAAACGGTAATCCCATGTAGACAACCAGAACCTCAGGCTGAGTCTGTTCCCCTTGGGGAGTGTGTCCTCCTGAACCCATCAATGAGGCTCAGAGCAGTGGCCCATTGCCTTGGAGAGAGACAGAGCACTAGTCAGGAGGAAAGAAAAGAAAGTCAGTGTAGGGGGACAGGATAAGGGTTACAAAATAAAGCCCTAATGCAAGACCCTTGACAGAGAGAGAGAGAAATTAGGTAGATAATGAAGTAAAGGCTTGTTTTAGTTAAATAAAAATTTAACTGTAATAAATATTACAGAGATTCTAATGACTCCAATGACTCTCCACAGACAGTGGTGGCCTATAACTGGAAGAGCGGGGATGTGGTGAAAAGGTTCAGAGGACATGAACGAGAGGTCACGAAGGTAATTCTCAAATGATCATTATTGTGGAGGGAAGTTAGAGTGATTGGATATTCATTCTTAAGAAAATGCAAGGGCTTCATCTGCTGCGGTAAAGGAAAAGCAGAGTGAACCATTCCCTTAGCTATTGCTAGAGACATATTAGATATGATTTTTATTTTGTCACTGAGCCCTTAATAGCTCAGGTGGTAAATAAAGAATTCTCCCTGCCTATCCTGACTCAACGGGGACAGGTGCTGAAGGCAGCCCGTGTGTTTACTGTAGCTGGAAAATAAGAAATGATAAAATTTATTCATTTATATAATAAATATTCATTTATGATAAAATTTATTCACTAATAATTTATTATATATAATAATGATATATGATATATATAATAATATATAATAATTCATTTATAAATAAATAAATTGATAAAATCCCTATATTCAGGAACCTTCTAGTCTAGTTGGGGAATTTTTTAAAAAGCCAACAACAGTTAACTAAAAATTAATTTGTTAAAAAAGCATTAGGGGGCAGAGTAAGCTTCCAGCTAATATGATAGCGAATGCCGGTCTCTACAACTCCCGTCCCTGAAATCCACCTCAAGAACTGATTCTGTCACCTGCACAGCTCCCAGCACAGGGCAGGGTACTGATGCCCACACGCAGTGCATTCCCACCCCAACAGGGCCGGGGGAGAGCCTCAGGTTCTGACACCCACAGCCCCGGGCCTGTTGCCCATTTCCAAGTCCAATCAAACAAGCACACCCGGGCTTTTTTCTCTCTTGAGCAGATAGCCTGTATTCATGGATCCAGCCTGTTCTTTAGCGCCTCTCGAGACAGGACAGCCATGATGTGGGACCTTTGTGGCCCCGCCCAGCCAAGGCAACAGTTCTCTGGCCATGCCATGGTGGTCACTGGATTGGCTGTGAGTACAGGTAAAATCAAAGAGAGCTCTACCCAACACTGTTGTATTTTCTTTCTTTCTTTCTTCTTCTTCTTTTTTTTTTTTTTTAATTTATTTATTTATCAGAGAGAGAGAATACAAGCAGGGGGAGTGGCAGGCAGAGGGAGAAACAGGCTCCCCACTGAGCAAGGACTTGGATGTGGGACTCAATCTCAGGATCCTGGGATCATGACCTGAGCTGAAGGCAGATGCCAAACTGAGCCACCAGGCACCTCTTTTTTTTTTTTTTTTTAATTAAGATTGATTATTTTTTTAAATTTATTTTTTTAAGATTTTATTTATTCATTTATTTTTTTTAAGATTTTTTTTATTTATTTATTTGACAGAGAGATCACAAGTAGGCAGAGAGGCAGGCAGAGAGAGAGGAGGAAGCAGGCTCCCTGCTGAGCAGAGAGCCCGATGCGGGGCTCGATCCCAGGACTCTGAGATCGTGACCTGAGCCGAAGGCAGTGGCTTAACCCACTGAGCCACCCAGGCGCCCCAAGATTTTATTTATTTTTTTGACAGAGATCTCTGTAGGCAGAGAGGCAGGCAGAGAAGGGGGGAGCAGGCTCCCTGCCAAGCAGAGAGCCTGATGCGGGGCTCGATCCCAGGACCCTGGGATCATGACCTGAGCTTAAGGCAGAGGCTTTAACCCACTGAGCCACCCAGGCGCCCCAAGATTGATTATTTTTAGAGAGAGAGTGTGTGAGCGGATGTGGAGGGGAGAGCAATGGGAGAGGGAGAAGAGAAGCAGACTCCCCACTGAGCATGGAGCCCAACTCAGGGCTCCATCTCACCACCCTGAGCTCATGACCTGAGTCAAAACCAAGGGTCAGACACTCAACCGACTGAGCCACCCAGGCGCCCCCTCGTTGTACTTTCTGAAAAGCCCCATACCAGGCCCATCTCATGGACCATCTTTTTCTTGTTCCCCCAGACTCGTCACAGCTGTGCACTGGCTCCCGGGACAACACCCTGCTCCTATGGGACATTGGGACTGGACAGTGTATGGAGAGAGCTTCCATCTCCAGGAACCTGGTAGGAACTCAAAGTTGGTAGAGAGTGGGACAGCAGAGGGGAGCATGTGGTGAGGCAAAGATTCTGTGAGAGAGATCAGGAGATACACCAGGCAGTAGAGGCTTGACACCTCATTACTACTCACCCTGAACTCTGTCAGACTCTGGCCTCTCAAGGTTATCAGGCTGGATGATCTCTTTAAAGTCTTCTGCTTCAGGGATGCCTGGGTGGCTCAATTCGTTAAGCATCTGCCTTCTGCTCAGGTCATGATCCCAGGGTCCTGGGATTGAGTCCCACATCCAACTTCTTGCTCAGTGGGGAGCCTGCTTCTCCCTCTGCCTGCTGCTCCCTTGCTTGTCCTCAGTCTCTCTCTCTCTGACAAATAAATAAATAAAATCTTAAAAAATAAAGTCTTCTGCTCCAGAGAACACCTCTCTAGTTCATACTGGAATTTTAAGTGGTGTGTTCATTTATTCCCTCAAAATGTGTTTTTCCATATCTGCTGTGCTAGGAGCTGGGTTAGTGGCCTAAGACACCATCCCTGTCCTCCAGGATCTCATAGCTGATGTGCAGAGAAACAAGCAGGACCCTTTGCTTTATGTATAATTTGCTGTGTTTATGAAGACCAATGTTTTCTGGTAGTAGGCTGGTAGATAAACTCCACAGCCTTTGAGGTCAGTCATGCCTGGGTTCAAATTATGGATACATCACTTTAAAAAATATATATTTGATTTATTTATTTGACAGAGAGAGACACAGTGAGAGAGGAAACACAGCAGGGGGAGTGGGAAAGGGAGATGCAGGCTTCCTGCAGAGCAGGGAGCCTGATGCAGGGCTCAATCCCAGGACCCTAGGATCATGACCTGAGCCGAAGGCAGACCCTTAACAACTGAGCCCCCCAGGCACCCCCATCACTTTTTTTTTAAGTAATCTCTACACCCAACATGGGGCTTGAACTCACAATCCTGAGATCAATAGTCACATGCTCTATCAGCTGAACCAGCCAGGCGCCCCAAGAGCCATCACATTTTAGCTGAGTTACTCTGAGAAAGTCACTTAGAGTGTCAGTGTCTTCATTTATAAAATGGAGAGAATCCCATGATTTGACATGATAGGTGTTCCTTTAGTGGTCATTAACTATCACTCATGGTCATCTTTTCCAGTTTTGAACACAACTGTCCATGGCAGGGTATGGTAGGCTCACTCTATGCCCTCCATATTTGTGGAGGTTGCTAGAAGAAAGTTGGGTCACCTTGGGTTATTTTGAAAAGAGTTTCATGTCTGTCCAGCAGGGGGTCATAGGGATGAAAAGAAAGAATGCATCCTCAGCCCTGTGAGGCCTTAGACTAGGGTTTCAGTGGTCCCACCATAGAACGGGGGCTGCTTTCCGTGGCTGCCAGTCACCAGCAGTTCACCATGAGTGGGGGCGCTCGCATGCATTCTGGTACTCACCACTGGCCCGGCCCTACCATTGCTGCTGCTGATCCAGGGGCGTCCAGTAGAGCGTGAGTCGGGGGGCATCTGCAAAACACAGCCTGGGGCGCCTGGGTGGCTCAGTGGATTAAAGCCTCTGCCTTTGGCTCAGGTCATGATATCAGGGTCCTGGGATCGAGCCCTACATCGGGCTCTCTGCTCAGAAGGGAGCCTGCTTCCTCCTCTCTCTCTGCCTGCCTCTCTACCTACTTGTGATCTCTGTCTGTCAAATAAATAAATAAAATCTTAAAAAAAAAAAAAAGAAAGAAAAACACAGCCTCGCTCCAAGACGAGTGTACGAGTCAGTGTCCTTGAGAAGTGGAGAGACACTATTTAGCACGGTTTACAGGAGTTGCCATAGAAGAGCGATTTGGTATGAAGAAGTTTTGAAAATTTTGCTTTTTCCAGGTCACTCATCTGTGCTGGGTCCCCCAAGAACCATATATACTACAGACTTCTGAAGATAAAACCATCAGGTGGGCTTCCTGAGCAGCCATGAAGGTGTTTCTGGTGAAGGTTTGTGGTTCCCAAGCTTATATGACTCCCTTTCCCCTCTGCTTTTCCACACTGCTGTGCCTTCCCAGGGCCTTCTGCCCCTTTGCCCCTTGCTGGGGCTGGGGTCTCTGACGTGGATCCCTGGGCCGTCTGGGTAGAGGCTGAATGGCAGGAAGTCAGGCCAGGAAAGAGCCCCTGTCCTGGATGGTTCTGAAGCAGCTGACTCTGACCCCACCCTTGCCCCCCGCCACCGGTGTGAACACATTTAGACTGAGCTCAGTCCCGGTCATTGGCTTGCCCCCGCTTTGAACTGCCTGCCTGGCTCCATTTTCGTCCCCTACTGGGGGCCGGATGTTCTCAAGCACCCAGCCCTCAGGGGAAGCCTTGTCTGGGCCAGTGGGGTCGGATCCCCGTCAGGAGAGTCAAATGAAGTGAATTGTTGAGTGGAAAGCACAGCGAGAAACTCTGGATCTCAGAAGAGATTCTCTCTACTTAGAAAACAGGAAGAATGAGGTAAAGAGGTGGAAAATGAGACGAGAAGCTGAATAAAACACTCCCAGCGGACCCCACGGCCCAGTAGGCCAAGGCCTGCAAGTCTTTTGTATCGGATTCTAGAATGGTGATGGCTCCTCTAGATCCTAATAACCATCTTTTAAAGCAATTAAGTCACAGGCACAGAAATATCCTCTTGTCCCTTGAAAGCAGTTTCCTAAAGGGCCAAATTAACAAATTAACTTGTACGGTTAAGATGCTTGGTCTAAATTCCTATTAAGTAGGTCTCAAAATAGAAAGAACTCAGATGGCATTCAGTTTGGTTATTTCCTGGCAGCTTTGGTGTCTCTGAGGGCGATCTGGTTCATCCTCCTGTTTTTAGGTGAACCGTGACATTCCATCTGACTGGCCGGAGCCATGGAGGGCCGCGGTTTACTTTCATGGGTCTGTCAGATACATTTACCACAGGCTCATTGCTTCATTTCTTGCAGGTTATGGGACAGCCGGGGACTACGGGTAGCTCACGTATTTCCCGCAAAGCAGCATATTCAGACCTACTGCGAGGTCAGTGAGGACGGTCACAAGTGTGTCTCCTGCAGCAACGGCTTTGGAGGGGAAGGCTGCGAAGCCACGGTGAGTGGGGGTCTGGTTGCTGATGAGCAAAGTGCTTCCTCTCACCTCCCATCTATCCTGGGCTCCACCAGGCCAGCTCTGCTAATGGCTCAGGCCTATTCCGAGTGCATACTGTAAGTGAGCCTTTGCACTCCAGATGCATCTCTCAAGAAACCTCCATTAGCTTTGGGCTCTCTGAATTGATAGTAGACAGAGGCATGGGATGAGAGTCAAGATAGGAAGGTGCTAAACACAGAACCAGCTTGCCAATGTCCCTACTTCCGGCAGAGCTTAGAGAGGGGAGGGACTATTTGAAGAGCCAAGTGTCTTCCCATTGTACTTGTGGTCATGGTACAGGAGGCTCAAGCTCTTCAGGGAGTCTTAGGCACCAGTGTTGGTCGACGGCCCATCCCAACCCTTACCTATATACCTTTCCTTGCACGTAATTTTGGATTACATTGCATTGTATCTCTAAAGTACCTCGGATTCCTCACTGTAGAATATAGGCTAAGAGGGGCATCTGGTCCAAATATAAAAATTAGAGCTCCCGTTGAAACAAACAGTTCATGCTGGGCACTGGCCTGAGCACATTACATGCACTGTCTCATCTAATCCTTACAACAACCTCGTGAATTAGATTCTATAATAATTCCCATTTTACAGATAAGCAAACAGAGGCGTGGCAAGTTGAAGTCTCTTGCACAAGACCACACCTCTAGTAAGTGGTGCACTGAGGCACTGAATCCCAGGCTATCGATGTAGCACCCCTTCCCCAAGCTAAGCATTTCCAGCCCCCACAACTGATGCGGTGTCCTGTGGTTTCATTATTTTTCGGATACAGTTCAGATCACTCTCCTCTCTGGATATTGTTCTCCTGAATTAACATGGTGCCCAGTGACTTCATTATATTTTGGACACAATTCGGTTTGCTCTCCTCCCTGAACCTTGTTCTCTAGCTGTGGTCTGATTGTGTCAACAAGAGTGTAATTGGCAGGATTGTCACCTTCTTTGTTGGAGGGTCTCATCTTCATATACCAAGGTTCAGCATGGAGGCAATCAGTCAGAAGGTCTGCGCCTCTGTGTGCTTATGAGAAGGTGCTCCTAACTATGGGGTCTGCAGAGAACCCACAGGCCAAAAGGCCGAGCTGTGCTAGAAAGTAGGCACCCCCGGGGCGCCTGGCCGGCTCAGTCAGAAGAGCATGAGACTCATGATCTTGGGATCGTGAGTTTGAGCCCCACATGGGGTGTAGAGATTACTTAAATAAATAAAAAACTTAAAAAAAAATTAGGCAATGCCATACTGTCCTATCATGCTGTAGGACTTGGAGCTTTCATTTCCCCAGCCCTGACATTAATGAGGAAGGCAGCAACCCTCCCTGCACACCCTTACCCAGGGTTGTTTGAGATCGTTGATGTTTAAAATAATTACCAGATGGGTGGGTGATGTGGTGTGTGGATGGGATAGATGAAGACAATGGGTAGCTACATGAGGAGGTAAGTGGGGGACACAGGTGGATCAGTGAGGGCAGCATGTGTGAAGCTGGGAAAATATGTGTGTATGAGCTAGCCTATGTCATTCCTCTAACAGCTGTGGGACCTACGGCAGACACGAAACAGAATATGGGAATATAAGGGGCATTTCCAGACTGTTGCATCCTGTGTCTTTCTACCAAGAGCACTGGCCTCGATGCCTATAATTGCTACCTCATCCCATGACTGCAAAGTGAAGATTTGGAACCAAGACACTGGAGGTAAGGAGCCTGCTGGTGGCGCTTCTCAAAGACACATGGTGCCCTAAAAGCATCCTTGAAACTCTCTCTTTCCATTGCTCAGCAAATACAAAGACAGCCATGTTCTGCCACTCTCCAGGCCCCTAGTGGTTAAGAGATGACACTAAGACACCAGGATTCCGTTGAACCTCCGGCTAGAGGCCCTCACTGCCTGAGCCCCACTACCACGTTGTACAGACTCGCTCCTGAGAGCTCAGATATATTTGGTTCTTACTGTTCTTGCTACCCGAAGTTCTTCATCAGGTTTTAACGTGTGATGCTCAAAATGCCTGGCAAAGGAGACAAGGATTGTCATTTTCAAATTCATTTTTTAAGGACTAAAAATGAGAGTCTCCGCTCGTGGTGGGGGTGAGGTAGAGTAAGCATTGTCTACCCAGACTGCCCTGTCTTGATGCTACAGGTCAGGTTTGAGATCCCAGTCAGGTCATGAACTCCAAAGCTCCAGAAAAAAAGATGTTTTAGGGAACACGGCTGGCTCCCCCAAGTCCTCAGTGAAGTATGCCAGAGCCCACTGCTACTGGCTGATTGTTAACTATTCAGGAATATCTAATATGGTCATAGTGAGAATATTTTCACCACAAAAGGTGGCAAATGCTATAAGTAAAGGTGGCTGGTTTTTTCTTCCAGAAAGTTGCCTTACCAGCACCCCCACTGCCTTCAGACTATTTTGTGCTGGACCCGGGGTTCTGTTGGACATAGGAATAGTGTTAAATTAAAGAATCTTACAACAAATCCCTCCTATAGTTATGTTCCAGAAACTCAGCTCCCAGCAGGGAAGGATAGGGTAGCCCCCTCAGAGAAAAGATGTGAGATCATGTCTATGGTTTGTGAGCCATACCTCCCTAGGGAGGACAGCCCTGCTATGCCCCAGCTGCAGGTGCCCTTTCCAGCTGCCCCGTGGAACAGCTGGGGGAGGTGGGGAGAGCAGCTGCGTGTCAGGTTCAATGTTCATAAGCCTGACACCAGGGAGAACAAGGTCTGAAAGTGTTGCCCTGCCCTCCAGCTGCGCACCTGTAGGGTTCTCAGGGGAGACAGGGACGGACGGAAACTGGGGCAGCTGGAAGCCCCCAGACTCAGACTCCCCTTCAGGTCCCAATCTCCTTTGTCTTGAAGGGAGCAAGACCCCAGAAGCCATCAGCTGAAGATCAGCATTGTCTGTTTTCCTCTGCCCTGGTCCCCGCTCTGTTCTCTGGGCAGGTGGGAACTAAGGGCCGTGTGTTCCCACGTCTTTGCAGGTGAGGCGCCGGCTGTCTGAGCAGGCTTTTAAGCGATACACACCTTGTTTGGGCCACGTGCCATTCTCTGGAGTTGAAGCCTTGTGGCTGCCCAGACGTTCACCTCCCCACAGGTGCACAGTCCTCTGGAGCAGGCGATGAGGCTCTTACCTGGGTTGGACACAGAGCACATGCTTTGCTTACACGGGTTTCTCAGAGACCTCATGTCCCGTGACCCTGAGCCCTTGGTCTGAGCTGCTGGTTCCCTCTTCCCCCCACAGCCTGCCTGTTCACCTTGTCCCTGGATGGATCAGGACCCTTGACTTCCCTGGCTGTTGGTGACACCATCTCCTTACTGTGTGCAAGTTTCAGCAAAGGAATTCACCTGCTCAGAGTGGAGCGCAGCCGAGGGCTGGAGCTGCAGGAAGTGGCAGCCTTCTGAGGCCAGGAGGCACGCACTGGATAATATCAAACGTGGCCTGTCCTTTCTCCGTGTGGCTTTGTGTTTCCCTGTGATCTTGCAGGGAGGGCTATGTGGGATTCTCTGCTTCCGTCCACTCAGAAGGTCTATCAGGGTTCGAGGCCAACGTAAGTCCAGGTGCAGCTTAGAAACACGATAGGTCTCTGTCTGAGAGTCCGAACATGGGGTGGAGTGTATCAGACTGACCTATGTCTCCACAGAAGAAAAAGCTGCCGGTGGAGAGACTGTTTGGGTGGCCTCGTAGTTACCCAGATGGGAGAGGGGAGCGCCGCTCTGTAGAGGACATGGGTTGTGGACGTGACATTCCGCTCGTCACTGCTCCTCCACAAGGTGAGGAAGTCTAGGCTTCTGCTGGGAGGGGCCCCGAGTGCAGGTGGCGTGTCCCAGACCAGTGCATGAAAATTAGACCCCAGGGGCCTTGAAAAGGTTGACCGCCTTGCCCTGAAGCCGAGTTGTCTCACTTGTTTTGTGCACAAAGAAGTGGAGAGGTTCCAGAGATTAAGGCTAAAAAAAGGTCATTTGTACATTTTAGTATTTTTTATGTCATTTTATATAAACTCTCTTAGGGATGGCCAGTATGAGGCCAATGGGAGTCTTCGACAACCGTAGAATATAGATGGGCGCCTGGGGGGCTCGGGCAGTTGAGCATCCAACTCTCGATTTCAGCTTGGTTGATGATCTTGGGTGATGGGATCGAGCCCCACGTCGGGCTCCATGCTCAGCAGGGAGTCCGCTGGAGATTCTCTCTCTAAAATAAATAAATAAAATCTTAAAAAAAAAATGTAGAACAGTGGGACAGACTCAACTGTAGGCCAGCTCCTTGGTGAGGAGGGACTTGGTGCTAAGGCCAGCCTGGGCGGCCCCCAGGACATCTATCCCTGGCATGGTGCTCACATGCCCATTTTCCTTCCAGGAAGTTAGAGTCCACCCTGTCTTCAGGAGATCCCACACATAAAGCAGCGAGTCCTAGCCAAAGACTTCCTCGCTTTTGTCTTCTCTGGCCCCTACCTGTCCCTGATACCAGCAGCTGACAGCCATTGTCCTTGTATCCCTCCTGCACCTCGCAGGGCTGGCTTCCCTGTGGGAGGATCCGAGTTTGAATCTCCACATTCAGCTGAATGATCTTGGCTGTTATAAAATCTCAGTTTCCATACTAATTAAATCGTACGTTCCTCATAGTGTTGCCTGAGCACCGGATAAAAGTGTATTTTTTTTTTTTAATTTTATTTATTTGACAGAGATCACAAGTAAGCAGAGGGGCAGGCAGAAAGAGAGGGGGAAAACAGGCTTCCTGCTGAGCAGAGACCCCCCCCCCCCGACAACGACAACGTGGGGCTCGATCGCAGGACCCTGGGGTCATGACCTGAGCCAAAGGCAGAAGCTTAACCCACTGAGCCATCCAGGCGCCCCCTGGGTAAAAGTGTACTGAATGCCAAGCGAGGAAGTGGGTGCTTACAAAGGCTGGTCATAGTTGTTTATTGCTGTCAGGACTAAACACTCCTCTTCTCTCACTAAACACATTCCTTCTCACATTCTCCTTAGATCTTACTTGTAAAGCTTTAGTCCTTGTACAGCTTCCCTTTGATTCCTTAGGTTATGGATCTTTGAGCTCTGGAAGGACAGGGGGGTGGTGGGAGAGGAGCTCCTTCCCAGAGAAGCTACAGCCGGCTGAATATGCTTATTCTCACTACAGTCCTCGCTATCCCAGGAGGAGAAGGAGGAGGCTGAGGCCCAGGGACATTCAGTCCTTTGCCCAAGGTTACATGGGGAGGTGGGAAGGGGGAAGAGCTGAGATTTGACAGGCAAGGATACCACTGTACTAATGAGGAAAAGAGAGATTTGAGCCAGGGACTGCCCGACTCAAAGCCAGAATACCTTCCTTCCCATTCCTTTGTCTTCGCATGATGTCACGAAGTTCATTTTAGAAATTCATAGGCCATGACACTGTTTGTGTATTTTCTAGACCATTATTAACTTTTCAGTTCCAAGGAGATCCTTCTGGCCAGGGGCCCAGAAACAGTACACAGATATCTCCAGGAAAATCCTAGCATATCCTGAACCGTTAGTGCTACAGCTGACCCTTGTAGCAAGGAGGCAGGCGGTAATCAGAAAATCCAAGGGAGTGGGTTGGGAGGGCGTCCCAGAGAAAGGGAACAGAGGAAATGTACATGTGAGAAAATCAAATAAATTAGCAGGGTTCTATTAGCAATGAAATTATTTCCCTAAACTCTACGCATTTGTTTGATGTAAAAATTCCTTTTCTGGGCTTTTTTTTTTTTTCTTCTTTTTGAGATTTTATTTACTTGACAGAGACACAACGAGAGAGGGAACACAAGCAGGGGGAGTGGGAGAGGGAGAAGCAGGCTTCCCATGGAGTGGGGAACCCGACAGGGGGCTTGATCCCAGGACCCTGGGATCATGACCTGAGCTGAAGGCAGACCCTTAATGACGGAGCCACCCAGGTGCTCCTCCTTTTCTGTGCATTTTAAGTGGAAAACAGATTAATAAATGCAAATGTTTATATAGGTGTTTTCAGTCTTACATGCCCTAATCAGGTACTCTCAGCACCTAAGGTACCAGCTACTAAAATGCATTAATTTGCTCACTTGACATTCACTGAACACTTCATTTTAAAGTCTGCCCCTGTAAAATCATATAGAGGAACTTTCCAAAGGCAGTTGACCTTTTTTTCCAGGAAAGTATATAATCCCTTGGAATCTGGCCAATTATATATTTAAAACTTAAAGAAATTTATGTATTTACTTATATAAGTTAAATATATTTGCACCTGACTGGCTCAGTCGGTGGAGCATATGACTCTTGATCTTGGGGTTGTGAGTTCAAGCCCTACGTTGGGTATAGAGATACTTAAAAATATAAAACATATATACATATATATATTTCAGGAAAATGTTTCATGATTATTAACACCTTTTTTTGGGTGGGTGAAACTATCTTACAAGAGGATCTTTGATTTTACCAAAAGGTTAAAAATGATCTGGAAAAGATACAATTTTGAATGCTACTTTTTCACACATAATCCAGGCTGTCTATAATTTAAGTCCCAATTTGTATTCAAAATATTTTTTTTCTTGAAAATAGCTACCAGGTGGGCACCTGGCTGGCTCAGTCAGAAGAGCATGTGACTTGATTTCAGGGTCCTGAGTTTGAGTCTCACACAGGGTGCAGAAACTACTCAAATAAACAAAACTTTAAAAAACAGGGGCATCTGGGTGGCTCAGTTGGTTTAATGTCTGCCTTCAGCTTAGGTCATGATCCCGGGGTCCTGGGATGGAGCCCCATGTTCGGCTCCCTGCTCAGCGGGGAGTCTGCTTTTCCTTCTCCCTCTGCCCCTTTCTTGTGCTCCCTCTCTTGTTCTCTCTCAAATCAATAAAATATTAAAAAAAAAAAAAAAAAAGCTTTAGGGGCACCTGGGTGGCTCAGTCATTAAGCATCTGCCTTCGGCTCAGGTCATGGTCCTAGAGTCCTGGGATTGAATCTCACATTGGGTTCCCTGCTCAGCAGGAAGCCTGCTTCTCCCTCTCTCATTCTGTGTTTGACCTTGTGTTCCCTCTCTCATGGTCTCTCTCTCTGTGTCAAATAAATAAATAAAATCTAAAAAAAAAATTTTTTTTCAAAAAATAAAATAGCTACGAGCTATTAAAGTATTGTGATACAGTGGGTATCACTGGTATCACAAACATATCAGACAAGTCGCCATTATCATTCTCTTTCTGAACAATGATTTTTAAAGATTTTTTAACTTAAATTCTAGTTAACATACACTGCGATACTGGTTTCAGGAACAGAATTCAGTGATTCATCACTTGATATCTGAGCAATGATTACTAAAGAAACTTCCCCAGGGGTTTTGAGTTCACAGTCACTAAGAAATACTTCCTGATCTCCCAGTTGACAGTAGCAGAAATTTCCAGTCTGTAACAGCCTTGATTTTGACACAGGAATTACAAGTATAGAACTCAGGTCAGTTCGTGTTTTTAATCTTTCAACACTGTGAAAAAAGAACTTAGCTATTTCTGGTAGCCTTGTGAAAACAGAATGAGTGAAGAAAAGCTTCATCGTGAAAAGTGCAGCAGAAGGCTACCCGTTTCCTGAAGTTGGCCCACTTTGGCCCAGGCTGCCCCGCTAAGCCTCCATTCCCAGCTAGGCATGGCCATGAGCATAACTTCTTGTCAGTGGATTGTGAGTGGAAGTGATGTGTGTAACTTCTCTTTTATTAGCTCCAAAGGAACGTGTTTGTCTGGGATTAGCCCTCTGGGTCCCTTCCCACTAGTTGGAATGCAGACCACCAGTAAGAGCTTCAGCTGTGCAGATAAGGACAAGATGATGGACAAACAAGAGAGGAGCCCTGAAGCTAGACTGTGACCTGAGAGAGAAATGGGGGAGGGGCAGAGGGAGAGGGACAAGCAGACTTCCCACTGAGCAGAGAGCCCCACATGGGGCTCGATCCCAGGACCCCGAGATCACAACCTGAGCCGAAGGCAGACACTTAACCAACCGAGCCACCCAGGCGCCCCTGAATTTCATTCTTTTAAAGCCACTATATATAATTTTAACTTTCCACTCAACGATCACAATCAAACAATTTCAGATGCGTTAAGTTTAGAGCTTGCTGATTTTCCACAAGCTGAACACACTCTAGCAACCAGAACCTAGATGAGGAAGTGTAATATATCCCGGAGCGCAGATGGTCTCCCTCATCTTCCCCTCCAGGCCTAGTGGCCAAGGAATCTATAGCAACATAAATCGGTTTTGCCTGCTTTTCTTCTTTATATACGCGAAGTCATACTGTATTGTGGCAGATGGGAATTAGAGCCACAGATTTCTTCCTTCCCTATACGTGTGGACTTTTGCAAGCCTGGGAGGCTCCGTCAGTCAAGAGTCAGACTCGAGTTCGGCTCAGGTCTTGATCTCGGTTGTGAGATTGAGCCCCACATTGGGCTCCACGTTCATGAGAGTCTGCCTGAGATTCTCTTTGTCCCTCTCTCTCTGCCCAACCTCCCCCCGGCCCTGCTCACACTCTCTCTCAAATAAAATTCTTAAAGATAAATACATGCAGAGAAACAAACACTGTGAACTTGTAGGTGGAGCCTTAGCAGGCCTGTGGCTTCCCTTTGACCATCTTGGAAAGCTGTTGCATGCCAGGGAGGTGACCCAGGCCACGTGGAGAACTGAGCACCGCCAGGTGTGTGATGAAGGTCACCTTCGGAGCCTGCCAAATGCGCAGCTGAATGCCACCGCC